GCTAACAGTGTATGACCGGAGTCTAATCATCAGGAAATAATAGATAAGTTCCAAACAAGAGACATATACAAAATAACTGGCCTATAATTTTCAAAAATGCCAAGATCAAAAAGCAATATGGACACTGAGGAAATGCTCCAATTTAAAGAGACTAAAGAAACTTGACAACTAAATGCAAATGATGGTCCTGGAAAATAGAAAGAAAATTATAGGAATAGTTGATGAAATTTGTGTATGGACTATGCATAAGATAATAGTATTCTCTTTTTTTTAAGATTTATTTACTTATTCTTGAGAAACACAGAGAGAGGCAGAGACATAGGCAGAGGGAGAAACAGGCTTCCTGTGGGGGGCCTGGGATCACTCCCTGAGCCCAAAGCAGGTGCTCAACCACTGAGCCACTCCAGTGCCCCAGATAATAGTATTCTATAAATGTTAAATCTCTTGATATTGGTAATTGTATTGTGGTTATGTAAAAGAATGCCCTTGTTTTTAAGAAATAAATTCTGAGCTATTTGATGGTAAAGTGTGTTAAGCTAGTGAAAGAAGGAGGCCATTTGACTGAGATGGTTCTAATACCTTAGCAGTCTATTGTAAGCAAGCCAAAACCTAAGTGTGTGAAGACCTCAAATTTAAGAAATCAAAACCTAAAGGCAACCAATCACAAATAGCCAACGAGGCTTTCCCAAATGAGGCAAATGCTTAATCTGTAGCCAATCAAATAATGTCCTTGCTTTGCTTCCCTTTTTTTCTATAAAAATCTTGCCCCTAACTCATGTTGGTAGAACTCTCCTAATCACTTCTGTGCTGGTGCTGCCTGATTTGAATCTATTTTTGCCCAAAAAAAACTATTTAAAATTTTAATATGCCTCATCTTTTCACAGGGACATGATGTCTGTAATTAGTTCTTGAGTGGTTTAGAAAAAAGAGCAAGAATGGTAGATCAAGTACAGCAAAATTTAGAAATCTAAACATATGTGTTACCTAACATGGATACAGTATATGGGAGTTCCTTAGACATATGCATGTTCCTTGTACAGACTTGCAACATTTCTGTAAGTTTAAATTTTTATCTAAATGAAAGTTAAAGACATTTAAAACATTTACCACTTTTGTAAGGGTATTGAGGGTAAAAAAGAACTGACAAGTTAAAATGTTAAAGCCACTCTGAATTACCAAATTTGGGGGGCTCTATCAAACTACCTTCCTTTGAATAACAAGGACTTTTGGCAGTAAAATATCCCCATTAAACTGACATGGGTCCAAAAGAGTTTAATAAGATCCAAACAGGAAATACTAAGTGCCATTTCAAAACCTTTAGGCTGGCAGCAAAATATACAGTTCCCCCTGGACAAGACCTTCTAGCAATTACTTTAACCTATGCTCCAAAAGTAGTTTTAGAAAACTAGTCTAGGGGCACCTGGGTCTGTCTGTCTGTCTGTCTTTGGCTCAGGACGTAATCCCGGGGTCCTGGAATTAAGTCCTGCATCAGGCTCCCCACAGGAGCCTGCATCTCCCTTGGCCTATGTCTCTGCCTCTCTCTCTCTGTGTCTCTCATGAATAAATAAGTAAAATCTTAAAAAAAAAAAATAGAAAACTAGTCTAGAATGTTTAGAAAATGGGCAAAACCTTTTCTTAAACAGCTGCTTATTTAAAAAATTAATAAAAATTGACTTTCACTTTGTTGGATACCTATGTGTTGGTCTTCACAAATCTTTGTAGAGCAAAAGAGGAGCCAGCATGCCTTGAGAAGCTGCTGTCAGTGGCACTAGGAAACAGGAAATTGAGGAAGAGAGAGGTAAAATACCTTGCCCAAGATCAAACATTAAGGACATGATAGATCTAGGAATTAAGCCTGTGTTTATTCACTAATCAATCTGCTTCTGAGCCAGTATGGTTCATGGATCCGTTCCATGATATTTCATAGAAGTATCTCCATGTCCCGTGGTGACAGCCCTGTAAGAGTGATGCCATCTCCATTTTTACATGTGAAGAAAATGCTACTGGGAACTAACATATTCAAATTCACAAAAACGAGGAAGACATGGAGGCAAAAAACATCAACATAGTTATGTGCGATTTCAAAACCCATATCCCTTTTACTCATCAAGACAGCAAGAAATAGGGATGCCTGGGTGGCTCAGCAGTTTAGCATCTGCCTTTGGCTCAGGACCTGATCCTGGAGTCCCAGGATAGAATCCCACGTCAGGCTCCTTGAATTGAGCCTGCTTCTCCTCCCTCTGCCTATGTCTCTGCCTCTCTTTCTGTGTCTCTCATGAATAAATAAATAAAATCTTAAAAATACACACACACACAGCAAGAAATAGATTACATTTGGAAAAATTGGGTATCATCAAGAAAGTGATAACTAAGTGAATCCCAAGCTCTAAATTAACTAATATTAAATTATCACATGGGAACTTCCCTAAAACAGCCGCCAAGGCAAAAGATGATTTTTTAATGACTCTAAACATTGTCAGAAAATATTGTTTTCATTTTAATCCAAAAACGTACACACCCTCATGTATCAGACTTCTTGTCTTTCCCTGTTCCATTTCATGATCAGTGTTCTCTCTTCCCTTCCTCCCTCCCTTTCCGCCTTCTCTCTCTCTCTCTCTCTCTCTCTCTCTCTCTCTCTCTGGTTCTTTCTCTGCACTCCGTCTCTGTCTCTCCCTCCCTTTCTTCTCCTTTTTTTTTTTATAAATTTATTTTTTATTGGTGTTCAATTTGCCAACAGATAGAATAACACCCAGTGCTCATCCCGTCAAGTGCCCACCTCAGTGCCCGGCACCCTGTCACCCCCACCTCCCGCCCACCTCCCCTTCCACCACCCCTAGTTCGTTTCCCAGAGTTCCCTTTCTTCTTTCCCTTTCTCTCTTCTTCCTCCTTGACCTTCTGGACACAGTTGTATAAAAAGGTTACAAAGGTTTCTGCTTCCCCCTAGAGGTATTGGTCTGGAAGTGGCAGTCACCATAGAAAATTCTGGACCTGGCAAGTCACATTGGGAAAATAGCAAAACTTTACAGACAGTAATAAAATGACACTTTAGACTCCTCTAGAGTTTTTGGAGACAGGGGCCAACAGGGTGAGAGGAAATAACCTGTGATCACAGACGGACTAGTTAACCTCACATGGCCTCAGGAAATGCACCTGTGACCAAGAAGTTAAACTATCTCCTTCTCACAGTTGTTTTGTGGATTGAGATAATATACTAAAGGGTCTTGAAGCACAGTACACTCCCACTAAAAGGTAACTATTATTTGCTTTTGACAGCTCTATAAGGTTAGGAAACTGAGGCTCAGCATGGCTTACTTAGTATCTTAAGTTAACTCAGCCAGCGAGCTGCAGAACTAAGCCCATAATCCAAGTTTTCAGACTCTCTAGTGTTCATCCTCACACCTCAGTATCCCAAATTAACAGTTGATAATGAGGAATCTTAAGAATTTTAAAAGTCTTAAGGGTATGTTTTCCAACACCACCTGTGTTTTCCATTAAATCCAAAAAAAAAAATATGCATTTCAATGATCTGTGGTCATACCTTCCAGAATTACGTCTTAAAATTGTAAGAAGCACAGATTTGTGTCCAAAATGTTCACAGAGCCTTACCTATAATAGTGCAAAGCTCAAGTCCAGCTAAACATAAGATATTTATGCAACAAACCTTTGTACAAATAATGGCAATTGTTTTTACTTATTTATGTCATTTATTTCTCGGTGCCGGATGCTGTTGTAACAATTAGGATCAGATCAAAGCATTCAGTGAGGTAGGTGCTGTTCTGTTCTAGTCACTGATCAATCTGCTTCTGAGACAGATCCAGGGATCCACTCCATATTTCACTGCATGGTAACACCTATGGTGGGATATTGTACAACAGTGAAAAAAATCATGTTTTCAATAATTATTAAATTTTATGGACAGGTGCTTACATTTAAAGTGTTAAGGTAGGGACGCCTACATGGCTCAGTGGTTGAGCGTCTGCCTTTGGCTCAGGGCATGATCCGGGGATTGAGTCCCGCATTAGGCTCCCCTCAGGGAGCCTGTTTCTCCCTCTGCCTATATCTCTGCTTCTGCCTCTCTCTCTGTGTGTCTCTCATAAATAAATAAAATCTTTTTAAAAATAAAATAATAAAATGTTAAGGAAAAGACAGTATGAAGAATTGCATACTATATCATTTCAGTCTAAATGTGTGTGTGTGTGTGTGTGTGTGTGTAGTATCTAAATCTAAATAGTACTGTTCTCCAGGTTATAGATTATGAATAATTTTGCGTCCTCTTTCATATTTTTCTGAATATTCTGAACTTTTGTAATGAGACAGAACTGCTGTGATCATCAGAAAATTTAGATAAAAACTATTTTAGGGTGCTAAAAAAAAAACAGAATTTCTAAGAACAGGCTTTAGTTTCCTTTCACAGTTAAATAATGAATCGGGAAGTATAAATGGGAAAGATTTGCAAGAAAAACAATTACCCCAATGATGGGGAATGGAGGAAGGATGTTGAAACTAAAAGGGAAGTGCCTGAGGGAGGATGTTTAAAGAACACATGTGTGGCATTAACTTAGCCTACTGGATCCTACTTTTGATTGATGTCAGCTGTTCAGAAGCTGTCTTCTGACAGTAGTTGGATTCACTATAGACTGAACTAGTGCGGACAGAGGGTCCGACGCCTTCAGAAGAGAACACAGGGAAGACCTGTGACCCCAGAAGGTATAATTTCTGAATTGGAGAGTTTCAAAGTTACAATGGAAAAGCTGCAACAAGAGCCTTCTTTTTGACAGAAATCCAGAAGAGATGTGCTGCTTCCTACCAGCCCTCTCTGGCCAGGGCCTATCAGCAGCACCAAATGAGCGCGACAGAGGCCCACCTCTGAGATGGCATCTTCCCAGCCACTCGCAGGAGCCAATCATATCATCGCAATGGAAACCTGCAGCTCCAGATAATGTCACTTGGCCCCAAACACTGTACAGCGTGTGCCTTTCCTGTCTTCCTGAGAAAGTTGAGGTTGAGCTGCTGAGCCTGACCCTTGAAAAGCCTTTGGAATTCCTCCCGACACAGACTAGATAAGGGATTTATTTTTAATTGGAAATTTTAAGGCGTTTACTTTACCATCCCTTATTTGGTGCACAGATCTAGCTATGTCACGGAGATTTCGGCTCTGCCAATGAGCGGGAGCTGATACATTTCCTCAGAAAATCTGGTTGGGGGTGGTCAGCAGAAGATTCAACAGGACATGAACAAGGGAAGTTCCTGCCTAGACCCACCCAGAGAAAACCCCAGAGAAGAGCACTGAGCACTCATTTCATCATGAAGCTTCAAGAGCAGAGAAGTGCTTTTAACACAAACGAATACCGTCCAGTGCCCAACAGAAGCAGGAGGATTCTTCTCCCAACTCCTACTGCAGCCCCTGCTCTGAGGATCTGGCTTCTTCCCAGGCAGCTTCCTCTCTTGATGCTGTTCTCGGCCCTGCAGACACCCACCGGGAGTTCTGAGGTAGGGTGCCACTGAGGTGATTTCTTCCCTGTCCATGCTCCCCGGGGCACTTTCCTGGTGACAACCTTTAAGTGACCTGTGGTCACTTGGGATCTGATTTCATTCAGATATTTTAACAAATAATGCTGAAGGGTGTTGAAGGATGATGAAGGGTGTTGTGGTAGTGAAGAGTAGTGAAGGGTGTTGAAAGCAATTATTAAAAATTGTGGGATTCTTTGGAGTTTCTACATTTGGCATTATGGAAGCTAGAGGCATAATGTTACTTATATTTTTTTAAGATTTTATTTATCTATTCATGAGAGACACAGAGAGAGAGGCAGAGACAAAGGCAAAGAGAGAAGCAGGCTCCCTGCAGGAGCCCGATGTGGGACTCGATCCCAAACCCCGGGATCAGGATCTGAGTTGAAGGCAGATGCTCAACCGCTGAGCCCCGCAGGCATCCCTGTAATGTTCTTTTCTTGATTCTCCATAAAATTTAAGTAAAATACTGCTTCTGTATTTCAAATGATGCAAAATATAGTCTGTTTGCTTTAGATTGTTTCGTATGGATCAACTCCAAAAGAAGTATTATCATTTAAAGTTTTATATAATGAAAAATAACCAAATGTTAAGAGATAATAGAGTACATATTTGAGATCTCATAATATATTAAAGTTTTTAGAGCCCACAAGATTTAACAGCACATAATGAGATGGATTTTGTTTTGTTTGGGTTTAAATAGATTCTGTAGACCTATTTGTAAACCTTCTGTAAAGAGTTGTTGGTGAAAATCATTTAAGCAGTCTTAAAAATCTCCATTTTACATACAACTAGATGTCTTCTCATCATAAATAACAGTAAAAATACCAAAGGTATGTTTCTGAGTTTCAACTGCAGCATCTTTGACATTGACTGAATGGAATCTTATCTCATAATATAAGAAGTGCTGTTCATTAGAAAAGCACTATTTCTTTGTCAAGAAGAAAACATCTTGGAATTTAGATAATTGAAAATATGGTTCTAAAAAATAGACTGATGATACTTACTGAGCTTGTATTCAAATCTCTAACTTCAGTTTAATCTGGGCTAGATATTGATAAGTAGAATTCAATTGACTACCCATGGGAAAATGTCTTTTTCCCATTCCTGGGTTCTAAGAGGAAGGATGGTCCTAGGCACACCTCTCCTAACCACTATACCACTCCCCTGGTGGTTGGCAAGTTTAGTTGACTGGGAACATCAGGAACAATAACTGGGCATTCTGACTTTGACTCTGCTCTTCATCCTCCTGGGAGGTAGGCACATGCCAAAGGGCCTGAGCCCTGCGTTCCTCATGACAAGAATCTTACCTTTGGGCAGGCCACAATCCAACACTGTCTGCAGCTCAGTGGGCAAGTCTGCCTTGTTCCAGGGTTTACTCTTAACAAATCTTGCCATCAGACGTAAATATGTGTGCCCCAGCAATTCAGTAGTAAAGATGATATTTTAAATTTCATACATATACTCTTTTCCCCCAATTTTTTCAGATCCAGGTCAGAAGAGAGAGCTGTTATTTACTGGGGACCCCTTGGGAGAACCCAACATTACTCATCGCTGAAGCTTTTTCTTAAATATGGTTCAGAGACTTAATATAGATTTTAGGTATTCAAAAAAGAGATATTTCTTAACACCCATGAGAGAATATGAAAGGGGTCAGCAGGGAAAAAGAAAGTATACATAAACTTCTAGATGATCATTTGTTTTCTTCAAAGCACTATGCAAAAATACTGTTTTTGTTTATACAAGAAGGTCACACCCTCCCTGGGAGCGTGAGGGGTTTTTTAAGCTTCTAGTAATATTTATCAAACCAAATTCAATCTCCGGCACAAGTCACTGATCCAGGAGGTATTAGGGCAGTGTAATGATTATGAGTGAAACTTCAGCAAATAAATTTTGAGGAAAAGACTCGGCTTTATGGAAAATAGACAGCAAGCCACCACAGCCTATCATCTGATCTGAAAAGCTAAAATGAATATTTTTCCTTTCCTATAGGTTGCAGTTAACATCGACTTTGACTTGACACCAGATTCCTTTGATGATCAGTACCAAGGCTGCAGCCCACAGGTCATGGAGAAGCTAAATCAAGGGGATTATTTTGCAAAAGAACTAAAAGCACATAGAAATTACTCTAGGATCTGGGCAAACGCCCACTTAACCTGGTTGAACAGAGCAGCAGATCTCCCCAGGAGCATGAATATTACACATGCTTTGGCCATCCTGGCTTATACATCAAACAACATTGTCCGCACAGATTTTACTAGAGCCATGGCCACTGCTGGCAGGTCCCCACAGCAGTATAAACACTCATTCCATTTCAAATACCTCCACTACTACCTGACTTCAGCAGTCCAGCTGCTAAGGGAAGAAATGATCCTGACGAATGACTCTTCATGTTATGAGGTACATCATGAGATGAAGGGTAACTATTTGAAAGCCAACAGAGGGGCCACCATCCGATTTGGCCAGTTCCTCTCCACTTCCCTCCTACAAGAAGAGGCACAGAAGGTTGGGAACCAAACTCTATTCACCATATTTACCTGCCTGGGAGTGCCTGTACAAGAATTCTCTCTCAGGAAGGAAGTCCTAGTCCCTCCCTACGAGGTGTTCAAAGTTGTAAATATGAGCTACCACCCTCAAGGAAATTGGTTGCAATTGCAGTCAGCTGGGAACCTGAGCACATACAACTGTCAGCTGCTAAAAGGTATTATGTTATCGTTCTAAATCAAATCTACTTGTGTCAGGATCCCAGAACACCAGTCTTTTTAAAAAGTTATTTTTCTGAGTGGGCCTGTGGGGGAAAACTGACCTTCAGGAATGGCAGAACTGACAGATTAGAAACCTGTCTTATTTCTTTTCCCTCCCCTTCTTTCTCAACTATCTCTAGAAAAACTGTGCTTCTTCAATGGCACTAATATGTGGAGACTTCTAGACACAGAGAGTAAACCTCTACTGAAAAAGATAGCACATAAAAATATAGCATTATTACCTTCACCCTCAAACTCATTTTGGTTTTTAGGGTTTTTTTTGTTTCGTTTTGTTTTGGGGGGGGGTTGTTTTCGTTTTTGTCATGGTCACTACAGGAATACGGAGTGCTAAGAGTAAAGCAGGAGGCATGATTTATTCATTCACTCTTATCTATTACTCATCTTCAATGTTCCAAGCACTGGGATGGGAGGCCCCAGGCAATATGAAATGAATAAAGCAAAATCACTGTCGTAGGTGGATTTTAAGTCTACTGAGACATAGAAATATGAGCAAATGTCCACACTCAAAAGCACTAAGCAATACACCAGATGTTTAAGCAATGGTTGTGGCTTCTCAGTGCTGGAAGCTACTCATTCTCTCTGGAGAAAGTGAGAAAGTCTTAATGATAGAGGACCACATAGGACTTGAAGAGGGAATGGGACAGGGTTGTAAAAGAAGAGAGGAAAAGTCATTTTAAGCAGAAAACAACATACGCTGAATCAAAGAGATTTCAAACAGCCAGTGTCTTTAGGGAATCTGCACAATAGGATGTATAGGACACAGGAAGAGGCTAGGAATGGAAAAGGAATAGGGGATCGATTGGGGTGGGGAGACTTCTGATGGGCCTGATGGTTAAAATTATTGTATTCTATACTAAGGGCTTTCTAACTTCATGCTAGAGGTAATGAGAAGTCCTTGGAGGAGTGGAGTATCAATTATATCAGTATATTAGCAAGAGTTCTGACAATATTGTGAAAAATGAACTGAAGCAGGAGAAATTGGAGATATCACAAAACAAAAAAATATTGTTCAGATCTTTTTTAGAAAAATATGTGGCTAACTCCATTCCATCTCTGTATGATGCCAGCCACATTCCCTGCACAAAATGGTAGTTCTGTGGCAAGTGCTATGCCCTGTTTGATTTATAAGGAAGATTGTCCTTATCCACATGTGCACTTGTTCACACTCACACTTAACTGCAGTGTCTACCTTTGAAATATCCCCAAATCTTTCTCTATTCCATCATGATTGCTACTGTTAGTAATTCAAGCAATCAGCATTTCTTAGCATTTGGGGGCTGCAGTGTAACAAAGATCCTAAAACAGGCATCCACATTGAGGTCTTAGGCTTGCTTACTCTGGCCTATCTGCAAACACAAACCAGGGAAGAGGTGACCTATCAACACTTTTATCTCCTCCTGCCTGCCCTTGGAAGTGTGACAGGCAGCAATATGAGCGAACTCAGTCTGTTCCACGGAACCAAGAGATTAGTGTTTGCAGAGGAGAATGAAAACCTAGAGTATGAAGCAAACAATGAGATTCTGATAATAAATAAGGACAATCATAGCTACTTTCCAGGGTTCTCTGGAACTACACTTGACTAAGGCACTGTTGCTTTATTCTCATCATGATGAAGTTGAGAGAGAAGAATTTTTCTCTAGGTCAATTCAATGAGCACAGTAAAATACATTAAGTAAAAAGTTGTAGAACATTTACATCAAAGAGGAGGAAAAAAGAGTATGTAATAGAAACTATTACCCATATTCTCTACTCTGTACGTCTCAAAGAAAACTATTTCAAGACCCTCCCCCACCAAACTAATGATCTTTGCTTTCCTGTCAGGAAGCTGCTCAAACACAACTTTGAGTTAAGGCTTAGTTGGAGCAGCCATGCACATTGCTAGACCTTGGAAGCTTGGTTGGTCTTGACTGGATATTTGAAATCACAAATCATATGTGAGGGAATCAGTAATCTTTTGTTGCTCTGTAAGCTCTCTGTGGGCAGGGACATGACTACATAGTATTTAAGGGTTTGGTATGGAATCCAGGCAGTTTGACTCCAGATCCACTCTTTCTGGATTGCTATCCAACTTGTACCATTTTTTAGCTGTGTTCTCAGTCCAGTTGTTTAAACTCCCTATGTTTCTTTGACGATGTAAGAAGCATCATGATAGAGCCCCACAGGGTTCTTGTGAAAATTTAAAAAATAAACAAAATACTAAATTACTTCTACATGACCTACCATGTAATAAATGGCAAATAAGTGTCTTAACTGACAAGTAACACTCTACCTATCCCACCATCCTGGAGCAGTATTGGATTGATCCATACATGAAAAATGGGAGGAGGGAGGTGGTGTTTTTCTTTTCTGGGAGTCCTTCACTGAGAGGGAGTAAGATCAGTGGACTCTTTCCAGACCTGTTTTTCTAGATAACTCTTATTGCACCGACATCAACCTCAGTTTAGAGATTCACAAATGGTCCCTAGGATGCTGTCTCTTATCCCTTCAATTTTTTTCTCATGCAAAAGCCACAAGCTATTTTAACATCTCAAAAGATCCCTCTGAGTCAGTGACTTGTTTCCTTTCCTGTTCCCTCTTAATCTGACAAATATCATACTTAAAAGACAACATGAAGACCTTTAAAATTGGTCAGCCAGGATACCGTAATTCTCCCAATGAAAAGACAATAGATCCAAGAGTACAGTTTCCCCGTCCTTTGATTTATTTCAAAATTGTTTCTGTTAACTTGTAACTACAGTTCTCAAGTTCAAAGAGTACTCAGGAATCTGTCAACCTCAGAATCAAAAGGTCAAATTGGTAGCATAAAATATTTAAGCAAGTCCATTTGCAAAAGAAAAATTAAGACATTCTTTTTTTTTTTAATTAAGACATTCTAAACTAACAGCTCTCCCTTCTAATTCTTCTCTCACCCCTCTTGTGGCCTATAGTGGTTACCATAGAAACAGATGTTTTCATGCCCATTGAAAGACTCAAAATATGTTATTTTAGTTATTTGTCCTTAAATGTTGCTTTGTTCAGGAAAATAATCCATGCCAAAAATCTATAAACACACAAACACATACTCTGTTCTGTACCATTGGATTCACAAAGAAGGATTTATTTGTTAAAATGTTTCACATAATCAAAATTCTTAAGCATGTTTCTAGAAAAAATACAGTCAACTTTTGTAGTAAGCCTGGTTTTACATACTAACTTTACCAGTTACTAACAGTGAGAACACGGGCAAATGGCTTAGTCTCTGTGTGCCTCTACTATGTGTAACATAGGGAGGAAAATCTAATGAAAATCTACCTTATAGGATTCTGGTGAGTATAAAATGACTTATGCGTGTTAAAGCTCTTAGAACAGATTCTGACACTAGCAAGTACTCAAAATTTCCCTAAGCTACTATTACTGTCACATATGATTTACTTTATTAACTTCCTGTTCTTGTTTTCTTTTACTCTGGGTTTTATCTCAAACTAGTTTTCCCTATTTGTACCATCACATTAGCCTTGAAATGGAGTGTCTATCTGAGCTGCATGGATGAAAGAATGAGTAATTTAGGGGCACCTGGATGGCTTACTTGGTTACGCATCTGCCTTCAGCTCAGGTCATGATCCTGAGGTCCTGGGATTGAGCCCCAGTCGGGCTTGCGCTCTCTCTCTCTCTCTCTCTAATAAATTTTTAAAAAAAAATTAAAGAAGGAAGGAAAAAAAGAAAGAGAAAAAGGAGAGAAGGAGGGAAGAAAGGGAGGAAGGGTGGAAAGAGAATAGATTTTGGAGCCAGGAAGGGCTGGGCATATATGTTAGTAGCTATGTGACCTTGTGTAAATGACAACCTCTGAGCCTGTTTCTTCATTTATAAAATGGGGGCAAAAAGAACATTGTGCAAGTACTTGGCGTCTACCCTCTCAAACATAATTGAAAAACCCTGGGAGGGACACCTGGGTGGCTCACTGGTTGGGCGCCTGCCTTTGGCTCAGGTCGTGATCCCGGGATCCAGGATCTATTCCTGCATCAGGCTCCCTGCGAGGAGCCTGCTTCTCCCTCTGCCTGTGTTTCTGCCTCTCTCTCTCTCTCTCAGTCTGTGTCTCATGAATAAATGAATAAATCTAGAAAGAAAAAGAAGAAAGAAAGAAAGAAGAAAGAAAGAAGGAAAGAAGAAAGAAAGAAAGAAAGAAAGAAAGAAAGAAAGAAAGAAAAGAAAGAAAGAAAGAAAGAAAGGCCCTGGGAAAGCACTTTGCATGTGGAAGTGGGATAATAGTTTCATGGCACAAATGTGTGCTTCACTGGTATTGACAGGCAAGAAAAAAAACAAAGAAGAGACAGAAGAAACAATGCTTATCATTGTTTGAGTGCCAAATTTTTCATAGATAACTCTCTAAAAAAATAACACTTGTTAATCTCCACATTCTGACAGAAAGAGGCTATAGATAGCATTTCCCTCCAAATATCAGATTAACTAGATATACTGCATATCAATTTTAGCTTCTGCTTTTCTTCAAGGGGTTGACTGTTTCTTTCTGAATAATCTAATTCACAGATTCAGAGTTCTTGAAATACAAGGTATAATAATTATGTATTTCTCCCCAAACTGTATACCCTAAGGCAGAGATGACCAAATTTATGTTATAATACACCAAAAATAAATGATACTTATGTGGCAAATTTCATTCACAGAAGGTTTTCACACACATTATCTGTTTAATTCTTATAACTACCCTGTACATTGGTTATTGACCCCACTACACTGATTTGAATACTGAGGTTGAGAGAGGTTACATGGTTTGTATGAGATTATTCAGTTTATAAAAAGCTTAGAAATATGTATGCACTATTAATTTTCCTTGTCTACTCTTATTGGTAAAAATGGGATTTTAAATATTGTTTATATATATAGAATTCCAAGAAATTTCAGAAAACACAAGGGATTTTATGTATTATTATGTGAAAACAATGGGAAAATATTTCTCTGTCATCTCATCATCCTATTGAACAATATGTTCAAATGTTGAGGTAATCACAGAGTTGAAGTTTTCCTAAATCAAACATCTTTTCTACCCTAAATAGTCACTGAAGGCTGGTTGAAAAGGAGATCCCACTCACTATTTAGAGCATTTTCTAAAGGTTTCCATCTTCCATCTCATTCTATATCCTCATCCCAGCATATTGCCAATCAGTAGTTTCTTGTATTTATTTTGCTTTCATCAGCCATACCCTAACTGGTTGCCAATCTTCTCCATCTTTCCATGAAGAGCATGTATGTATAGGAAGTACATACACACACACACACACACACACACACACACACCAAGCAGGATTGTATGAATACTTTTTGCCCACTTTGTAATTTTTTTTAAGATTTTATTTATTCATTCATGAGAGACACAAAGAGAGAGAGAGAGAGGCAGAGACATGGGCAGAGGGAGAAGCAGGCTCCATGCAAGGAGCCCGATGTGGGACTTGATCTGGATCCTGGGATCATGCCCTGAGCCAAAGGCAGATACTCAACCGCTGAGCCACCCAGGCATCCCATCCCACTTTGTAATAAAAAAAAAAAAAGAAAGAAAGAAAAGAAAGAAAGAAAGAAAGAAAGAAAGAAAGAAAGAAAGAAAGAAAGAAAGAAAGAAAGCAAGCCTATGTGTGGACATGCCATATATGGAGAAACAATACTGTGGCTAAAAAGATAGAGTTGAGTTGAGCCAGACTGCCTGAGTTGGAATGCTGCCTTCACTACATACCAGATGTGAGATGTTTGGTTAAGTTTCTCCACAAATCAAAATGTCACCTTTTGATCAGTGGAAAATAAGGAGAATAAGAATAAATACCTCGTAGATATCCTGTGAGGATCAAGTGAGTTAATTGATAGCATTGCTTAAAACAGACCACAGCACAGAACAAGTTGCTAATCAATGTTAGCTTTCATAATGGTGATGAAGATGATGGTAATTAAAATGGGGATACTGGTGATGGTGATGGTGTTGCTGCTGGCAATAAAGACGGAAAATCAGGAGATCTCACACACTAAAGAAGAGATGGGTCACCTGGGGTAAATCTATGAGCTTCTTGGTGCTGTTCCATTACCTGTAAAATAAACAAGCTGAGTTCTGTTAGTTAGAAAACAATCTAAGAGGATACTTTTTTTAAAGTAGCTAACTGCAAATATTTGTATTAGGAGTTTTCTACATTAAAAAATGAATCAAAGGACAGATTAGATAGTTTTTTGGAGTTTTTTTAAGATTTTATTTATTTATTTGAGAGGAAGAATGAGAGACAGAATGAGGAGGGGGGAGGCAGGAGGGAAAAGCAGAGCCCCCTGCTGATCAGGGAACCTGATGTGGGGCTTGTCCCAGGAGGAATCATGACCTGAGCTGAAGTCAGATGCTTCACCAACTGAGCAACCCAGGTGCACCAAGGTAGTTTTTCAAAAAACAAAAACAAAAAAGTCTGCTACCTAAAAGATCTCTAACTTTGTTTTGTTTTTACAGGTTCCGGCAAAAAGTACAATCCTGCTCCTATGGTTATTGCTTGTCTCTCCTTTTTGACCAGTGTTGTCATCTCTTCCAAAAATGGAGTATAAATGAAACTTGTGGTTTTGCTTTTGCTGTGCCCTTTTGCTTGATGCCAGCCAGGGCACCCTGAATACCCTTGGGGACTCACTCTGCCTGGTTATCAACTGATACAGCGCTGGCTCAGCCTACTGCCTGTGAGTGGACCTAGAACTCAGTGTATTTCTTCTTCATGGACACAGATTTATCCTGGGATAGAAAAGGACCCAATCAAAGCTGATGAGATACAGTCATGGTAATTTTTTGGAATTCGGATCGGTAATGGGGTGGGGGCCTTTTTACTCAATGAAGATTAATGAAAGCAGAGTATGAGTCTACAGTTGCTGGCAGCTATCTTGCCACCAGTAGGGGAAACTCTATCTCCTTGAGAATAGAGTGAACACAATGAAGGAAGAACTAAAAAATGAAAAGAAACAGTTCTGATAAGAATATATGAGCCCCTAGATCCAACTATGCCTGAGTCGGAATCTGGGCTTTTTTTATTACATAAATCAATAAATTTTATATTTTCATAAGTAATTTGAATTAAATTTCCTATCTCAAGTGATCAAAGGACTTTTTGGAGTTATGAATACAAGGATTCTCCATTATTTTTATTAGCCATCCTAAATGGGAACAAATTGAGAAGCTTGAGTTCGAAAGCACAGAACAAATTCTTCATCAAATGGAAAAGCTTTGAACCCCAGAGAAATAATTAAAGCAAATTTTCTTCAGAGATTTTTTAATCAGCATTCAAAGCCAAGCCAGTGTAGTCTCAAATAGGAGGAAATATGAAAACTTGAGAAATAAAAGGGAAGTTAATAAAAGATGTTAGTGAAATCTCATTCACTGGCAGTAATGGGATGCCACACCTATTTCTACAGTATTACAAAATTTAGAATTTAAATTCATATGTTAATTTACAGAGGGACTTTATGGCAAATTGGATTTTAAGTCATCTTCAAAACTTTAGGTACATTTATTAGGAAAGCACATGGATGTGTGTGGATTTAAAGGAGAAGATATGGGAGAAAAAAATCCGATAACCAAGCAAATATCAAAGATATATCAAGTCCCCACTATGTGACAACAACTAAACAAAAGGAAGTATAAATCACCAAACCTCACATCTGGGAATATTCTCTTACTTCCCTCAGGGGTGACGGGGGTTGTTCTCCTGATTTCCAAAGACCCTGGTATTGGGCTAAATGGAGTAAAGGGGGAGACTAGCTCTATCCTTTGAGTTATGAAAGTCTATGCTACTTACCCCCCCCTGAGATTTGAGTAATAAACAATGAAAGTGAAATCAGTTAATCTGACCCCAGTAGGAATGTCTAAAGGGATGGTGTCTTGACAGAAAAGACACAACGGGGAGTTAGCTGCATAAAATCACCCAGTAGAGAATTTAGGCATCTAGTACTGTCATTCTTTACATGGCATTTTGAGAACAGGGCCAAGGGCATCTCTATCATCTAGCTTACATTGGCCTCTACACCAAATAAGGCAAACATATAATTTCCATAGACACAGTTTACATGATTTATTGCCCAGGGACCTTGGCAAGTTAGTGGCTCCTGAGTAGAGAATTCTGTGGGCCTGGCTCTGGGAACAAGCTTTGCTCTGAGCCTTAGTGAGGCAGAGAAAAGCCTCCCAACATCTTGCATATTTTGTTTCTGTGCCATATAAATGCACTTATTGAGCCAGACTATGTACAAAACACTTTGGGGATTAAATGTTGAATATAATATGCCAGATCTTCCAAGAGTTTACAGTCTCTTGGGAGAAATTAAGAACACAAACAAGTCACAGAGGAATACCAAAAGAAAGGGGCAAGTCAAGTTTTCTGTTCACAAAAGTTCAAAAGAGAAACTCCTGAGGCAAGGGAAGAACCAATAAAGCTTCAGGGAAGAGGCAGCATTTGAGCAAGGCCTTGGGACACAGAGGTGGGAGCGAAAGATGAGAGGAGGAAGACAGTGAGTGTAGGTATGTGTCAAACGCTTAGAGCCAAAATGCATACAAATAGTAAGTACTTCAAATTTAGAGAAAAGTGAGATCCCACTGTCCTATGGTTGGAAACAGCTTTCTATGGGAAATGAGGCTCAAGGGAAGGCTTCAGAGGGAAAAGAGAGAGCTGAGTAGAAAGGAGACAGAGGATATAGGAATGATCATTGTACATAAGGGTCAGGAAATAGGTGTGACAGAGTGAAGCTGTAATGTGGACTGGAGAGGAAATTGCCACCCAAGCTAAAAAGTCAACCTAATGCATTGGATCTTCATGAGAAATCCATTTTCTGAGTAAGACATTCTAGATAAATGACTCTTACAGCCACAGCATCAGTGTCCCTTAAGAACTTGTTAGAAATGTGAACTCTGGAGCCTGATCCCAAATCCGTAGAATCAGAAACCCAGGACCTGTATTTAAGAAGCCCTTCAGGCTTATGACTTATGGGATTATGATCCATAAAGGAATAACCAGGTTTTTGAAAAGATAACTTAATTCTTCCTCCTGCTGCTGCTTTATAGGGCAAATCTCCAGAGATAGAAGTTATTCTCTTGAGTGGTATAGATTTGTGGGTTGAGGATGAATATGCATATTTTACATTCCCTCAATCTCTCCCTATAGTCCTAAATTTTTGTGCAAGTAGCCAGTGAAATGGACATTTATTTAAATCAATTCAAAGTTCATGAAATCTTAGGAGATGAGTTTCAAAAAAAATTCACTGTAATTTCTGCTTTTAGTCTGAGATATCTTTGAAGATAAAATGGATAAATTCACATGGATTGCTAAAAGGGCTGACACTAAAGTTGCATAGTATTTATCTCCTATAGTAACTTTTATTAATGCTTCTCCCTTCTTGTGCACATGAAAAAATAATCTGACTTCACTTGTTTTATTTTTATTTTTATGATTCAGTGTTCTTTTTTAAAAAAAGATTTTATTTATTTATTCATAAGAGACACAGAGAGAGAGGCAGAGACACAGGCAGAGGGAGAAGCAGGCTCCATGCAGGGAGCCCGATGCGGGACTTGATTCCAGGACTCTGGGATCAGGCCCTGAGCCAAAGGCAGATGCTCAACCACAGAGCCACTCAGGTGTCCCTTTGATTCAGTGTTCTAATATGCCTACCTGATTGTCCCAAAGTTCCCTATTTGCTCTCACTTTTAAAAATAATAAATCCAGGGATCCCTGGGTGGCGTAGTGGTTTGGCACCTGCCTTTGGCCCAGGGCGCAATCCTGGAGACCCGGGATCGAATCCCACGTCGGGCTCCCGGTGCATGGAGCCTGCTTCTCCCTCTGCCTGTGTCTCTGCCTCTCTCTCTCTCTCTCTCTGTGACTATCTTAAATAAATAAAAATAATAAAAATAAAAATAATAATAAAATAATAAATCCAGTGAAAGAAAATTCCTATAGAGCTTGATTTGCTTAGAGAGCCAGGACTCTTGGCCTGAGTTGTCCAATGATCTGAATCAAATTGAATTATAGTTTATGAACCAGATCTTCATTTGGTAAAATTGAACATTTATTGAGCTAGATGCTTTCAGAGATGCCAACATGTACCAAACATTGGCAAGTGATAGAACATGGGAAAAAAAGGTATTACAAGCATTACAGGACTCCCTCACTGGCTTCCTTATCTTCTTGTAGTAAATGCCCATGTGTTTTTTATTTTGCTTTATGGCAGTTCACTTTTTCTTCCTCACTTATGCTTCATTCAAGCAGTGAGGTCACACTGTGCTCGCAGAGGAGGAATGAAACTAGATAGAAAGTAGAAACTAGTGAGCCTTCCCCCAGGTTGCTTTTCAAAACCTGAAGGAATTGAGAGCAACGAGAAGAACCCAAAATAAAGAATCTGAAAGACACATGCAATAAGAGTAATAGGTTTGAGAAGAGTGCATTCCCCCCCCCAAACCCCCAGTATATCCACCGGCTGGAAGCAACAGCAGACAGGCAGTCATCAGAGTGGGCAGATTAGAAGTCCTTGGTGGTGAGACAAGGCCTTTGAGAGGCCCTGTCAGTGATGGCCAGCTTCACAGGAGCCACCTGCCTCCGAAAACCCCTGCTGTGACTGAAGTATGCATGGCCCTTCCTAACCTCACAGGGCTATACTAGCTGCCATTCCCATTGAAGTGTGGTGAAGACCCCCCCCCACTTGAACTGCCACTAGTCATGCTTCCTGTCATTTCGTAGGAAGACTCTGCCCAGGACTATTCCTGCCCTGTCCCATTCATTTCCAGATCACTCCCCCAGCTGTTGCAATATCCCTGGACAGTCTGACGACCAATAGCAGGAAAGTGAGGACCTGAACACACACAGGTTCAGAGAAAGTAACAAAGCGAGAGCTCCACCTCCCTTCTCCCACTTATATACGTTTATTTTTGAGGACAGAGTAGCAAATGAATCAGAGCTCAAGAATGTCCTCAAAATAAGCCAGCTAGAGGATCACCTGGGTGGCTCAGTGGCTGAGCACCTGCCTTAGGCTCAGAGCGTGATCCTGTGGTCCTGGGATCAAGTCCTACATCAGGACTATGTCTGCCCGTGTCTCTGCCTTTCTCTCCATGTCTCTTATGAATAAATAAATACAATCTTAAAAAAAATAATAAGCCATCTACTAATGGAATACCTATTTCAAATGCGCAAGGTTTCAGCTTTGGAGCTGAGAGATAATGTAGAGTTCACGTCTTGATACTCATCCTTTTCTCAAGCCCTCTAAGTCCTGAAACTGTCAAATACCCTTGGCTCTTGCCACAGGACATTCTGAAGGTCTTCCTGTTTAGGGGCAAGGAAGAGATTCCTAATTCAAAATTATAGTGGTGATTCCAATGACAGCCTTGGCTTTGGAAGCTGAGCTCCTAACTCAGGCTAGCAAAAATGCAACTTCAAAGTATCCACAACTGAGGAGGTCATGGTGGCAACCTTGGTGGATGTGACTGCATCGCAGACTTAAAAGTACAGAAATAGAGTGTATTCTTCCCCCACTCCATCAAATGCTCACAGTTTTTTTTTCTCTTTCAGTTTTTCATATTTCAGCCTAGTTTTTAAGTGTAGGGAAATATGTTTTATTTGTAGAGGAGAAAATGAGATTTCAAACTTGAGATGAGAACATGTTTGAATGAGGACAAACCTTAGGTATTCTCAGAAGAAAAATTCCAAGAAAGAACTAGAGTTATTCATTGCTTTTTAAAAATTCTCAACAAAGTTCCTGTTAGGTGTCATGTAGAATAGGGCCATCTTGAAAGCATACACTCTTTCCCATGGATAAGGGCCAAAGACCTTCTGGTAGGCAAGGGATTTGTCTAACCTTCCTTCCCCAATACAAGCACATCTCAGAAATCCTACTTCTATGAGTGTTACAGTCTTTTCTTTGTGAAAGGTTAGAGCACCTCCATTTTTGAAACTCCAATAGCTCCTAATTATAACACCTCAATAGGAGACAGACAAGAATAAACCATTTGCCCTGGTCTTATCCAAGTAAGAAAACTATTACTCTTCATTGATTGTTCTTATTTACTCCTGGATAAGTCATACCAAAAGAATCTAGTGATGGCTTATGATAGGTAAGGCACTGATGATACAGAGATTGGTATATGAGTGACAAAAATGCAGAAGGTAGGGGCACCTGGGTGGCTCAGATGGTTAAGCATCTGCCTTCAGCTCAGGTCATGATCTCAGGGTCCTGGGATTGAGCCCCACAGCAGGCTCCCTGCTCAGTAGGGAGTCTGCTTCTGCCTATGCCACTACCCCTGCTCATTCTTTCTCTCTCTCTCAATTAAACAAAATCTTTTTAAAAATGCCGAAAATTACTTTATATGTTTCCTGTGCCTGAACAGTAGTTTCTGCCAGATTATCTAATGATAATGTTTACATTTACCTGGACTTCTCACTGTAGTATCTAGAAATAGGACTACTAAGAGTAGAAATTAGTTTAGGGTTATTTTAATTATGCTTTAAGATGATATGTAATGTTTAGAGACATCCTCAAATGTAATACATTTCCTTGATGTTCTGAACAATATGTTATTTTTAGTAACTGCCATTTCAAGTAGGTTTTCTTTGATTATTTTTATTTGAATAAAGCAAAACTTGAGGTAAATGGTCTACTGGGTGACTACTCTTTGTACTTCTGTCCTAACATAACTCATTTGTGGCATCAAAGGTCTTAAAACATACTCCAAATATTCACAGGATACAAAATGATTTTCTGACAGAAATGAGCAGTTCTGTTGCACTCCTACTAGTAATTGGCTTTCTTGGGCACAGAAACCTTGGTTTCCATAGTATTTATGGCTTTTTGGAGGACTTCTAAGATTGGCGCTACTGTTTTGACAACTTCCTCCAACTGAACTGCAATTGACTTGATGGTATTCTTGGAATCCTCAGTTTCTAGCACATCCTGCAATTTTTTCAAGATGTCTATTGTACCAATTTTGGATGGACCCGGACTTGTGTTTTTCTTGGATGTGTTGGCATCTGATTGCTCTTTGGTGTCTTTTCTATAGAGGTCACCTAACTGAAGATTCATGACGGGATATTTCATCAAGAGTGAAAGAGAAGATTCCAAAATCCCAAGGATGTTGCTACTATTCAATGCAGAGACAATGACTGGTGTTTGAACAGTTTTGAACACTTCTTTAGCCGACTGCTGCAACTCCTTTACATTGGTGGTATTCTCAACCATAGAGCAAACAGCTGTTGCAATCTTGGAATATAAAGGTTCCTTTTGCATTTGGTCATACTTTGTCTCCACTACAGATTGCATCTCTTTAAAAATTTTGAACATTTGTTCAAAGACATCCTTGGCATTATCATCTTCTTTCACAGTCATGGACTGGATCTGAGTATTCATAGTGCTGTTAAACAATTCAATAAGCATGTTAGTGAAGGCAGCAAGATCTTGCATGTGAAGGAAAAATGTTTTGGCAGCTTGAACCAGCCTCTCTTTATCCTCTTCTGATTCTGAAGACATTTCTCCAACAAAAATGTTTCAGTACTGCAAAATAGAGTAGTAATAAAGATGAAAACTTAAATTATATTTGTCAGCCATAAAGAGATTGACAGTATAATCTAACTGTGAAATTAACTACCGTCAAGGGTAGGAAAGCCACACAGGCTATAAAGCAGAAATGATCCTGTGCTTTAATAAAAATAACAACAAAAATAACTAAAAGACAGAATAGGGATGTTTCAAAGAATTTAAGCCACATATCAGATTTTGGATGGTACTGGATTCTCAATTGGATATGCTGATATTTTCTTAGGTATCACCCTAAATAACTATCCAATCTGGTGGAAAAGATTGTATACGGCTTAAAACTTACATAGAAAGGCTCTGGTTCCTGTTAAGACAGAGCAAGCACACTGAGTACAACCAAAAATCCTGAACTAAATATATAAAGTAATTCTCAGATAATCTGAAAGGTGGGTAACAGCAGACCAAAAGGATAGAATACAACACTTCAAGATGATCAAGGCCATCTGATGCAGACTCCCAAGATCTCTGTCTTGCCTAAGAATGTATCTGTACTTTCACTGTAACTCACCCTCTTCTGCTATAGAGGAGAGTGTTGACGTCTCTAACCAATGTTCACAAGTAGAAGTCTGGGGGAGATACAAAAAGATAGGATTGTGAACATTGATCCAGGGATCCCGAACTAGCAATTTGCAGGCAAAGTCCGACCAGCAGATGTATTTTGTTTGAAAACAAAACCTCCAAAGATTTAGTGTTGCCTAGAGAATAAAATACAATTTCCTGGCATGGCATTTAAGGTAATCTACAAACTGCTCTTAATTTTCCACTAGTTCCCTTCCCTTCACTGCATTCACATATATCCTGGGCCACTAGCATAGTGCATTAATTTTGTTCCCTGAAAATGCTCTACAACATTAGCTCCTTTGTTCACAGTATTTCCTCCACCTGCATTAACTCCTCCCTGCCCTACTACCTACACACCTATTGAAATCCTACTTATCCATCCACACATTCTTCTTCCCTTTTTTCCTCTGTGCCCATACACAGTAAGCCCAAGATATGTTAATTGCAAAATGACACACTGGGCCAAAGTAAAGTAACACCCCACTTGGTCCTCCTTTAAAACTATAGAGCAGGGGATCCCTGGGTGGCTCGGTGGTTTGGCGCCTGCCTTTGGCCCAGGGTGCGATCCTGGAGTCCCAGGATCGAGTCCCGCATCGGGCTCCCGGCATGGAGCCTGCTTCTCCCTCCTCCTGTGTCTCTGCCTCTCTCTCTCTCTCTATCATAAATAAATAAAAATAAATAAATATTTTAAAAATAAAATAAAACTATAGAGCAGAACTTTAGATTTTACACATCTCCTAGCTGATGTCCCCGTTCTGAATCCTCTACTCACCCATTAACAATAGAAATTATTGTTATTAATGTAATAAGAATGGCTACCATTCAGTAAGTTTTTGCCATATATTAAGCACTATCTCAAATGCTTTACATGCATTATCTCAGTTGATCCATATGACAATCCATAAATTACAAACTAATATATCACACCAATTAAAAAATGAGATTAAGAGATTTCCCAGGGCTACATGGCTAGAGAGTGATTATTTGGGGGGCACACAAAATAAGGACTGTCCAACTCTAAAACCTTTGTGTTTTTTCCATTAAAGTTTTATGGGGACTGGGTGATCTTCCTGCTTCTGAGATGTCCCCGCTGTAGATGAAACAATGGGGATGAGAACAGAATCTAGAAGGAGAAGCATGGAAGACTCTAAGCTTTAAGAGAAAGAAGTTGATCTATAAGGCATTCCTATTGTCAGGGCATTCACCAACACAATAAGAGATGGTGATAAAGAGAAGAACTAGCCAGGAAAGAAGAGCACACACACAAAAACTGCATTTGGCTACAAATAATCTGGATTTCTATCTCTTTCAAGAAGGTAAACAAAGGCATCAGCAACAGATGTAGTATAAATGCAATAGAAACTAGAAGGAAACTTAATATCTGGAATAGCTAACAAGACAGAATGCCAGAAGCTGAGAGCTGCAATCAAAGAGCCATCTTCTCCGCTGAACTGAATTAGCTCAGTTGTACAGCACTTTTCAACAATTAACGTCCATGAAAGGACAGAAAATTAAATGTTTTACTGTGTTATTAGTTTTTCAAATTAGACTGTTTCATACATACTTATTTTATATTAATATAGGAAACAGAAGAATTCTGAGAACTAGGAATGCAGAAGTACTCTATAAACCAGACAGGCAGAGGGACCCAGCAGAGACTAGCAAAGGCTGTTAAGTCATCACATTCCATGGAAACACCCAGATGAAACCAGATGAGAAAGCTCTTCAACAATGCTCCTAAACCAACTGCTGGGACTACTGAACTCAGAAACACGGCAAGGTAAGCAATGTGGATATTTCTACTTGTATTGATATGATAATTCTGTTTCTCCGGATTAAAGGGTATTTGAGGTAACATGTTAATCTTCAATCCTAGCCATAAATGTGATAAAGTCACAAAATGACTTTGTTTTAGGAGGGTCTGCTGGCTCTTCCTTGTAATTATTTACTTCTCTGAAGACACCAGATAAAGAAGAAAATTAACAGCTTATATGACTGATTAAGTCAGAGGGGAAGAAGAAGCAGTAAAGATAGCAAATTTAGAAAGGATTAAGGACAAAATGACACCTGTGTATTGTTTACATGGATTGTAACATTTCTTTTTATGTCTCTAACATCAGTACAAGAACTCAGCATCAGTGAAAGAAATGTGCAATCTGATACTCACTAATTTATAGTGTTTCTGCTCCCTTATAAGTTACATTACATTTAAATGTCGCCTGTCTCCAAGTAGACTGTTATCTACCTACCTTGAGGGCAAGGTCAGGAATCTTCTTTAGAAGAACGTATATGAGAAAGAGTGTCATCACATCATTATCAACTTTTTGTTTTTGTTTTTTTAATTAAAAGCCAGGGTTTTGATTTAAATTAAAGAAGACTCTCCGAACTAGTTAGTAGCTGTTATTTTCTTTTGAAAAGTTTCGGGTTTCATCTATTCTTTATCCCCAAACTCCCAAATAAGTGAACTTTGCAGGATAGCTGGACCCAACATGGATAGTGAGGATAGTGACAGCACAGAATAGCTTAAAACCTCAGAGAGCACTAATGACTAAACATTAGAGGCTGAGACATGTTTTCTCTGTCTCTCTTTCTTTAATTGTCACTATTGGAAAAGCTCAACAATACATAAAAGTAGAAATCATAATAAAGTGTCATATACCCAGAACCCAGCTTCAAAAATTATGACAACAGGTTGATCTTATTTCCTCCCTAACCCTACTCCACACTCCCAGATTTTTTGGAAGCAAATCTCAGAGATCATGGGTATCATTTCATCACTGACCTATTCACTATGTATTTCTACAAAAGCAAAAACTCGTCTTTTTGAAATGTAACTTTGTGCTTCCCAAAATAACAGTATTCAATAGAACTGTCTTTGGCTTTGAAACACACATAGTGCCTTGCTACAAAAATTTATTTTTGATGATGGTGTAAAAGTTTTTGGAATGCAATTTGCAATACATATCAAAAGTAATAAAAACTTCAATTCCCAATGATTATATAGTTCTTCTGGAAATTTATCTTGAGGAAATAATCCAGATAATTGAAAAGGAGGGGGGAAATGTTTATTAAAATGCCCACTACAATATTATGATAGGGAAACAATTAGGTATTTATTAAATTATGGTAGATATCTTATAGAATACTTTGTATAGGGATCTCTGGGTGGCGCAGCGGTTTGGCGCCTGCCTTTGGCCCAGGGCGCGATCCTGGAGATCCGGGATCGAATCCCACGTCGGGCTCCCGGTGCATGGAGCCTGCTTCTCCCTCTGCCTTTGTCTCTGCCTCTCTCTCTCTCTGTGTGTGACTATCATAAATAATAAAAAAAAATAATACTTTGTATAATAAAATTATTATAAAACCAGGAACATGAAAATATGTTTAAGTAAATAAATATAAGATGAAAATTTTATTTACACTATTATTACAACTTTGTAAAAATAATTATACATTTAAACAAACCTTAGAAAGGAACAACCAAAAAAATTAAGATGGTAGGTTTATGGGTGTTTTTCCTTCTTTTTTTTCAAGTGTTTATATATTAGTTGTATTGATCTTGTGCTTTAAAGTACTTTTTAAATCAAATCTTTTATTTTCAATTTCTTCATGTTATAATTCTATCATCTATCAAAACACAGATCACATGTCACTTTCTCCATGAAGCTTCCTCTAAACACCTCAAGTGTATTTCCCTCTTTAAGTTTCTGTAACATTTGACATTTAGCTACTGTTATTTGCAAAAGTATCCTGAGAATTTTTCATTTGAATATGTGATAATCAATGCATTTTTCCCCAAAAAATCTAAAATAACTGTATAGTATCACTAAATAAATTTTAACTTTTAGATACAATCATCAATATATTTCTACTATTTCTTAGACGCTCGAGAATGTTGACTTCTCCTTGCAACAATATTGACAAGGTTAATTTTGTTAAGAATCTATTTGAAGTTACTCTGTTTCCATTCCAATCTCCATTTCCAGGCTGACCACTGGTATCGGCATTAACAAGTTTCTTTTTTATTGAAATAACAAGTCAAAATACATGTGATTTCCAAACTTCCTTTTGGCAACAGAACTCTCTCATCAAAGAAAATTTTACGCACCCACAATCAAGTAGAGCAACAAGAAAGCACAACTGTTTCAGCAACCGCTGGGGTGAAAGAGACATGCCAGAGACAGGAGCGCCGCCTGCTGGCCAGCGATTCTCCGTCAGCACACCCTAGGGCTCTTTAGAACCTTCATGAACCATAGCAATAAAATACTCAAATAACAGTACAAACTCTGCAGTTCAGAAGTGGATGGTAACTGTGCAAAGCGAATTTTTCAGACAGGGATCACTATCATGTGATAATGTAAAAATCACATTTACCACACAAAAGGTGCAAGTAGTAAGAAATGGATTGAGAATACCATTTAGCTACCTGTAGGCGCCAATCTTTAAAATTCATTTATAAAGTGACTTTGAAGTGACTTGTAAGGGGTGCCTGGCTAGCGCAGTTGGCAGAACACATGACTCTTGTTGACCTCAAGATCTTGAGTTCAAGCTCTGTGTTGGGCACGGAAAAAAAGATCCTTGGTTTTTGTTTTGTTTTGTTTTGTTCTAAGATTTTATCTATTCATGGAGGGGGTTGGGGAGCAGAGGGAGAGGAACAGTTAGACTCCCAGCTGCTCGGAGCCCAACACAGGCCTCTGTCTCAGGAATGGAAGATGATGTCCTCAATCCAAACTAAGAGCCAGATGCTCAACCAACTGAGCCACTCAGGTGCCCCAAAAGAAATGATTTTTAAAAGACTGAATTTTAAAGTTGATATTTAAAATGTCATCCCTGAAAATGTAGTAAGATAGGGAAAAGTATATGGCCCAGAACTCCTCTTAGGTGAATACTATATATTGTTGGTAAGACATCACTTGAGCTTGTGTAGGTAACAGCTATGATATTCAAGAAAGGTGGTTCCAACTAATTGCAAGGCTTTTGTTTTGCTGAGTGAAGTAAGCAATTTGAGAGTCAGAGCTAAATTGTCATTGGCAATAATGGAAATGCAGTACGTGGCTAACTTTTTCCACGTGGTGTATAACCTCTCTTTTAAATATCAAGTACAGGGGGATCCCTGGGTGGCACAGCGGTTTGGCCCCTGCCTTTGGCCCAGGGCGCGATCCTGGAGACCCGGGATCGAGTCCCACGTCGGGCTCTCAGTACATGGAGCCTGCTTCTCCCTCTGCCTGTGTCTCTGCCTCTCTCTCTCTCTCTCTCTCTCTCTCTCTCTCTCTCTCTGTGACTATCATAAATAAATAAAAATTAAATATCAAGTACAGGGCAGCCCAGGTGGTTCAGCGGTTTAGCACCACCTTCAGCCTAGGGCCTGATCCTGGAGACCTGGGATGAGTCCCCCCTTGGGCTCCCCGCAGGGAGCCTGCTTCTCCCTCTGCCTCTCTCTGTGTCATGAATGAATGAATGAATGAATGAATGAATAGATAAATAAATAAATAAATATCAAGTACATATTTAAGAGTAACAATTTGATAAGGGTACAAGTTATTAACCTTCCCAGATGACTGAATGTTTCCATATGGCCCTAGTGTTAATACATGTTAACTTGTGGGTTGTTTGAAATTTGAATTTGCACAAATCAACCACCAACCTTATAATTTCAAAGGACATATTACTTTCAACTCAACATGTCGTTTTAAGTCTGTCTCGACTACCTAACTAGATTAAAAATGCCATAAAAGCAGGGACCATGTCCTTTTCATTTTTGTGTGCTCCATAGAGCCCAGCATGTTATCTAATACATAGTAAGGGACTAGTCCATTAGATAGATTGTTACTTAATTATTAAACTGTTTCCGTCACCAGGCTCTTCAAATTTCACCTGTCCAAAAATAATTCATTAGTTTCACCTTCAAATCCTACCTCTCCCCCACCTAATTCTCTAACATTTATCTCATCCTTGCGATGGAAATAATTTTGAACCGTATTCAGTACTGGAAAAGTATCAGGTGGCAGGCCTGCTGAAGATCTATTTGCATAAGGAAACTTCCCAAAGCCCTTCACCAAGAGAAAAGGAGCTGGGAAGGTAAGTCCAACTCAGAAAAATAAAAGTCCTTTTTCATTGATTTGAAAAGTAATTCAGAGCACATCATGATGTCTTACTCAAACTTGTTACTGGCACAGAATTATAGATTGATATCTGGAAACTGGGAAGAAGAGTATAAAAGTACATGTGTCAGGCCGTGGTTGGTTGTATAAAAGAAAGAAAATATAATTGAAAAAGGGCTGGGTCTTTGATTTGTGATCTTTGATTGAAGTCTTTTCATCAATTTAATTAGCTACTATTCTTTTATTGTCTGGAGTTGTTTGCTCATTTAGCTATTAGATAACTACTGTTTTTCTTATTGATATCAATAGTCTTTAGAAATTCATACTTCATTTTTTGTGTACCATTCCCAATTTCTTTTTAGTTCTTTTTACATGGTATGGTCATCTTTGTTAGTCAAATTTTTGTGTGACTTTTTTCCTTTGGGTTTAAACTTATAAAGCCCTCCTCCATATAGACATTTGAAAATTATCCACTTTCTTCTGGCTGTTTTATCATTTTTTTTTACAGACATTACACTAACTTCTTAAAATTAATTTTTCACCCCCAAAACTAGCCCATTATGCCAAGAACATCTATAGAACAATAATTTCAATTACCATCAATTTGAGAGTCTATGTTCATTATGTATTAAATGTATAGAAGGGTCTGTTTTCAGAACTATCTTGTTCCATGATTCCATTGAAGAAACCTCCCCCCTTGTAAGTAGGGCCAGCCCTAACCCAGAGGCAGCCCATCCAGGCATCTTCCTGAAATTTTAGCAACTAAAAGCATTCTGTTCACAATAAGAAAACCATTTCCCCCCCTACACCCTGATTGGAATGTCCCTGAATAGGTTCATGTTGACCCTCTGCGAAATCAACCTGGATGCCATGCGACTCCCGCGGTTCTTTTGCCTTTAGGTGGTTTCTTTCCTTTTGCCTTTAAAAGATCCCTGTAATTGCTAATCGGGGCTCTTTTCCTCCTCGGAGGCGGAGAGCCCGTTTGCGCAAACGTTCAATAAACCCTCTTGCTGATTGCATCTGCTTGTCTGGGGTCTGGGTCTCTGGGGCGTCCACCGGGACACGTTGGCACCCGTGAGCCAGGGTCCAACACCATCTACTCTTGTACCTATACAATACTATTATTTTTATAATGTTTTAATATTTGGGGAAGAAAAGTCCCATTATTACTCTTCTAAAAAAATAAGAAATCTCACCTATTTAGTTTTGTTTAATTTTATTTAAACTCTGGGGAGAAAAGGAAGAGAAAATGGAGTTTTTATATCTGTGTGGGATCTGGGTATATTTTCTCTTCAAGTAAATAGCATCCTGATTTTTTATTTTATGATTAATTTGTCAAGGTGTGTTAAAATAATGAGTTAACTGGGAAGAAACTGACCATTTGGAAGCATTCAATCTCCTCATTCAGGAGGAAGGCTCATCTCTCCTTTTGTTAGGCAAATAGAACCACATACCTTTTCTGGAAGCTATGCCTTCAGATAAGAGCAGATGATAGCTGCTAGAGATATTTTATACTTTCTCAGGCTAAGAAAGACTCCTCTCACCTAAATATCTGAGTTGGAATGTTGCTGATGGTCTTCCAAACTCAGTCAGAAACTGGAGTTTTCACTTCATGATAATATCTGAGAACTAGGAGTAAAAAAAAGAGAAAACGTTGAATAGAAAATTTCTGGAAGAAAAAACAGAGAAATCAAAGTTCAGATTTGTGCAGTTTGCAACCCAAAGGAGGTGAGCTGGGGAATATTTAACAAACCCTCAACAATTTTTTTAAATGAAATTGAAGTATTTTCTAAGTACTGTTTTGTGGAAATTTGTGTAACACGTGGATGTGTGTGTGTGTGTGTGTGTGTATGTGCTGGATCTGAATCAAAGATAAAAATGAATTTCTGACCATGATAAGGTTTATCCTATCAGGGGTACCAAGGCATTTTTCTAAACTGAACAACATAAATGATTATGTTTCCAATCCATTTAAAAAAAAATGTTTCCCCTTTCTATTTCCAACTTCCAACTGGAGGATAGGCTATTTTCATGTTTCATGAGAGAAAAATATCTTCATTCTTTCATCCCATGCTTAAGAGAGTCCCCATATCTAGGCTAGCAGCCATGGTCTCAGAATAGATAGGGGCCAAATTCATCAGGATGTTGTTTACGAGAGAATGTGCCAGCTCCCACACAGATTTCATTTTCTCTTTTCTCCCAAGAGTTTAAAAATAAAAGTGCCAGGCACATAGTGCCAGGCACATAGTAAGCCTTAATTAAGGAAAGCTTCCAGAAGAAAGTGATCCCAGAGCTGAGTCTTGAAGGCCAACCAGGAATTAGGACAAAGAAGAGTGAAGACATGCATATTGTGACATTGTTCTACCAGGGCTCAAACTTTTTTACCCAAATAAACTCAGAAGATGCTTGTGCTTTTTTTCTCTGAGCCAGTGGAACAGACACAAGAAGGCTCCTACCTGATTCGTTGTATTCATTCTATGGTGTACTCTTGCTACTTATTTTTTAATACCTTCGTGAAACGGCATCATCTTCTTACTAAGGCTAATTCTAGCTAATCTCCATCGTGCCCAAGTGCATTATAAGCCAGTCTAAATAATTTAAGTTATAAGCTTTGCAAATGGAGACCACAGATAGTTGTAACTGTACTGTCCCCTGCACCATGCTCACTCTCCCCAAGCGAATTTTAATCTAAAGAATTTTGAATATATACGCTTAACATGAAAATTTTTTGTAAAGATTCTAGTATGTGTATTGTCTTTAATGTCCATAGGCTTAGAGAACAAATAATTTGCCTGTAAAGACCTATAGAGTGACTGGAATATTATAAATTAAGATAACAGTATATAAACAAAATTAGATATTAATAGCCCTGTAAACTCAGAGATCTTAATATTCTTCTGGCCCTACTAATTTATCTCCAAATATTAGAGAAATCAATCTGGTAGATCTATTCAGTGTGGTGACTAGGGTTTGGGAAAATTAAGGAGTATTGGTAATCAAGAGTTAACCGTATCAAACTGCAGTCTATGTCAAACCTTATTAAATATGGCTTGGAAATAATCACATTTATTTATTATTAATCAGATGCTTGCTAAACACATATGTTTCCTATCCAGGATTTCTCTCAACCACAAAAAAATTAGTGCCTTAATTAATGCATCAGGAGGTTGCATTGTTACCCATATTTATATAAACTACTAAGTTTCATAAAAACTGTTTTGAAGAACCTGTTGAATTTTCTGAGGAATTCCTTAGCACAGTGCTATTTTTCCACTTGTAAAGTAAGATTCATGGTCAAATGCACACAGACAGCAGACATTTTTCAAAATTTTTAGTGAGGATTTACGACTTTATTTTTCAGAGACTGTATCTGAAATATGGCTCAGAGTGACTTCTTCTATCCAGAAAACCCACGGAGAAGGCAAGAAGTAAACCGTCTTCACCAGCAGCTACTTGATTGCCTATCTGATAGCTTCCATGCCACCAATAAGCTGATTGGGGTTTTAAACATGCACTTGGGGTGCAAGCTGACCTCCATTGAGATGAAAAGAGATGGGACCATCAAAGAAAACTGTGATATCATCATCCAAGCCATGATGAAAATCCAAAAGGAATTGCAAAAGGTTGATGAAGCCCTAAAAGATAAACTAGAGCCAACCCTCTACAGAAAACTTCAAGATATTAAAGAAAAGGAAACAGAGAAAATTGCAATAGTACAAAAGGTCATTTCAGTCATCCTGGGAGAAGCTACTTCTGCAGCCAGTGCAGTCGCTGTTAAACTTGTAGGCTCAAATGTCACAACTGGCATCATTAACAAGTTGGTCACTGTGTTAGCTCAAATTGGTGCTTCTCTCCTTGGTAGTATAGGAGTTGCTGTTCTTGGCCTTGGCATAGATATGATATTCCGTGCCATCCTGGGAGCAGTGGAGAAAACACAGCTTCAAGCAGCCATTAAAAGTTATGAGACGCATCTGGTGGAATTCAAGTCAGCTTCAGAAAAATATCATCATGCCATTACTGAGGTCACCAACACAGTGAAACAGCAAATGAAATGAACAGCCACTGTGCCCCTGGAATATTTTTCTACTTCTCAATATAGTGTTTTGCTCCTTTGATTAGGTTCATTTTCTGTATGTTTCCAACATGGACAGAAATACAGTTAACAACTTGGAAAGATGTTTTAAGAGATGCTAAAATTAGATGACTCCAGAGTTTTGTATCAACAACAAATGCCTACATTGGTTGGTGCTAGAGGTAAAAGATTATATCCCAGGATGCTTCTTACTTTGCTCTACCAGATCAACTTTAGGTTAAATGCTATGGGTGTGGGGATTACCTTTCCCTTTTCTAACTCCCCAAATCATTAAAATTTAAGTTGAATGAGGAGAGTTTTATTTCTACCACTAGCTTCAGACATCATTTAGTACTAAGGGGATGTACTTAGTAACTTCTGCCTAGACACTAACTGTGGACTTTGAGTGAAATAGAAATACTACCATAATTTTGATCCTCAGTTTTTAAGGCTAATTTTTAATAAACTAGGAGACACTGACATATGGGTTGTAACAATTTACTTCAGTGATAAAAGGACACAATGGTTCTGTAACTTCCACTAATTACACCTTATAAATTTGAATGGATTTTTTAAGAGATAAAAGTTAAAACTAAAAAGATAAAGGTTCTGTTTCTGTCATTGCAATCAACCCTGGCCAACTGTGGTGCGATGATTAAATAACCCTCATTGTGAATGTTTGAACACTCTGGGACATTGGAAAAAAACAAACAAACATGCAAATCCCATCTACACGTGCATAAAATGTGTTTAGGATACAGGGAGAAGTTGTTACTCTTTTAGGAATTTGCCATTTAAAGGAGAGCCGTGATTTATTACCTCACGAGTTTTCAGAAAAATGACATTTCATTTTCTACAACAGCAGAATAAAGGAAGCTGTTTCTGCTTCATAAAACTTCAGGTGGCCCATTTCATTAATTACCTGATTTCAGAAAAATCCAGAGGCTAAGGAGGCCTAATGGTTCAGCTAATATCTGCACACACAAGTGTTTTCTAAATCCTTCACCAACTAATAACTTCCCATTGTGACTCTTAGCTTCTACTTACAAAATCATTAATAAGTTGCTGGTGCAAGAATGTGTTTGTTACAGCTGATTCTTGCATCCAAGTACAAGAAATGTCTCGAAGTTTTAAAAGCTCAGTGTATCTCAAAAATTAAAAATCTAGATGAAAGACCAACTTTTCAGATGCACTCTTCATTTTTCTCTTCTGTCACTGCCTCTCAAAATTAGTCGGAAAACTAAAGTAGTTCACCTTCAAAATTAAGTTTGATTTTTATTTTATTTTTTTTTATTACCTAACTTACAACTTCTACTAAACTACAAGACCATGTCATTGCTCTTTCTGGGACTCAAGATTCGGCCTAAAACCAAATCAAGAATTTGCTAAGACAAAGGCTAGTGTAGGTAAGGAACTGATTACAAACGTTTAAGTGCACCATGTAAATATTCTGCTGTTAAAAACCAACGTGTTATCTCCTTTGGTAGTTTGGAGTGTTTATAATGGGTAGTTAAGAACTGACCTCGGCCTCCCATATTTTCCTATAAGGGATATTAAGATCAGTGATAACAAAGGGTATCTCTTAGAAGTCAAATTTGTTAAGTGTTTAAACTTACCCTTAAGGGGAAGGGGGGGGGTAAGAGTCGTGGACAGAAGGAAGAGGACGATGACTGCACCTAAGTGATAATCCGCACACAGGTACAGTGATGTCATAAAGGACTCCTAGCTGGTGTAAAGACCGAAAGGCAGAAGCCAGTACCCATCAGCCTCGTGACTCGTAAATTTAAAACTTGCAAATTTAAAAATTGCAAACTTGCATCCCATTTCCACCTAAAAAAAAAAAAAACCTTATTGTAGATTAATCTATCGTTTACGAACAATCTGGGACTTTCACACGGGCACTGATGATTCATTCGCTCAGGTCTACAAACGATCTGTTGTGCCTATAAACTTGGGAACGGCCGTGATGGTAGCAAAGCGCAACAGGCACACTAGCAAATGTTACTCAGGGATCCGTTTTCAGACAGACACTCTCAAGAGGCCGCGCTTGCTTACATCATGAAAAAGACAAAAACAAAAACAAAAAACCCCAAAACTAACAAGTCCAGCCGACTGACCGCAAAACATCACCCTGGCCCGAAAAAGCCGGTATCCCGCACGGCGGTAATAAGAGCTTCCGGAAATTAAGTCAAATCGTCTCGGTCGGAGAGGCAAAGTAGTCCTCCCATCAGCCAATCACCTGCCCGACCCGCTAGGTTTTTCTTTCTATTGGTCTAAAGAAGTGTCAATTACTGCGGTTCTGCGCCATGAGGGCGGGCCCTTAGCACAGAATCAACCAATACGGTATGATGCGGAGCGGAAGAGACTCTGGTCCTGGGGGTCTTGGTTCCTCTCTATGGTGCCAGGGCCGAGAAACGCTAAGATCCTGGATCCTCAGGAATAGGAAGTGACGTAGGGATGGCGGAGGGGCGCGAGGTTTCAAGATGGCGGTGGCTGGGTGGCTGACCGGCTGGCTGAGGTGAAGGCCCCTACGAAGTAGAAGAGGCCGAGAATCGTTCCCTCCCCGCTTCTCGCAGTCCCAGGAACGCAGCAGAAGTGTGAGTGTGCAGGGTTGTCTCACTCCGTTTCTCCATCTTTCTTTCCCGTCTCGGCCCCGGGCCCTGCGGCTGCCTCGGGGACACCAGGCCCCTCTGCCCGGTTCTTCCCCTCCGCGGTGTGGGTCTCCCGGGTCGGGGGCCGGGGGCCGGGGGATCCTGGAGCCCGGAGCGGTGCGGCTTCTAGCGTGAAGCAGCAGCTCGCCCGAGTCGGTTAGCGCCTCTCTTGCCGGCCCGTTGGCGGGTTGCTTTAGATTTGACGCCTTCATGGACCTCGAGTCAGGATCAACCGTCTCTATGGTTTTGGCAGTTGCTGGTGCCGTTGTCTCTCTGGGTGGACCTGGGCTCAGTCCCGCTTGAACCCCGGCCTCTTCGGTTCAGTATAGGGGTTCCCCCCGCCCCGCCACGGTTCTGTGGCGCGATTTCCTTATCGTTTCTCTTGTAGACAAAAAGCGGTTTGTGCAGACTAGGGCTGCATTGTCTCCTGTAGAAATTCTTCTAATTCCCACCTGTTTTTTGTTTCACCTGTGGGAGAGGAGGGTCAGAACGGTAGCCCGAGGGTAACTGAGAGAGGACAGCAAGGAAGATCACAGGCCATCGGAAAAAAAAAAAAGAAGAAGAAGAAGAAGAAGAGAGGCCGTATTTATATTAATTTTGCTTGTTTCCGCCTACCTTCTCACCTTCTCACCTTCTCCCACTTCTTCTGAGAAGGAAACCCTGGACAGGGTCAGTTAGTTGCCACTGGAACAGCTCTGGAGCATTTAGCAGAAATGAAGGCATTTGAGGACTTGCTGAAAGAGGCGTTAACTAATGAGCTTTTCTGACAAAATCTTCAAGGAAGAAGGGAGGGTATTATAATTAATTGTGTGGGCTACTGGAAAAAATTGACCTCATGATCGTCCCTTTCACACCCTTTAAAAGTCTACTTTAAAGGGGGTGAATTTGTCAACTTTATTATTGGAAAAGAGTAAGTATTAAAAAGTTAAACAATTGGAATAAGAGAAAGAAGTAAAATAGCAGTGTCTTGGGTTAATAGAAATATTGACTTGCAAAATATTTTCCCTCAAACACAGTCATCCCTTTCGGTTACCATAAAAAGAAATAGAAGTCAGGAGTCAAGTAGGTGCTAGTAGAATAGTTCATGTCTTGACGTTTTTGGACACTTCTTCGTGTAATACTTTCATTTTTAATATTTGCACTCTTAGTTACGTTGTTGTTTGCTCTTGTGAGTCAAAAATTACATGTGAATTAGAACTAAATCTGAATTAGATTAGATCTCTCTCTCCATGGGGAGAGACAAGGGAGACATTTGTTGTTGAACCCAGATCATTACCCCATTCCCTTTTTATTCCTCTTTCACCCTACATAAAAACAAGGGGAGGGTGTAGGAAAAGGACTAATGGCTTTTCATATTCATGGTTTATCCTATATTAAAGCGGTTCGTGATTTTTTTTTTTCAATTTCAGAATTAGTCCATGATCCATTAAAAAAAGTTAACAATCAAAGGAATGTTACTTTTTAGGACACATGGGTGGCTTAGTGGTTGAGCATCTGCCTTTGGCTCAAGGCGTGATCCCCCCGGGTCCTGGGATCAAGTCCCTGCATCAGGCTCCCCCAGGGAGCCTGCTTCTTCCTCTGCCTATGTCTCTGCCTCTCTCTCTTTGTGTCTCTCATGAATAAACAAATAAATAAAACCTTTAAAAAAAAACTAAAGGAATGTTACTTTTCAAGAGATTGGTAGGAAGAAATTTTGTAATATAAGAAGGAAGATATTTTGTAATTATCAGAAGAATAAACTCTGTCTTTGTCTTTGCAGGGTTTTTTTTTTTTTTTTTTTTTTTTTTAATGAGCCAGGTAAACCATATAAGTTGTCAACATGGGACGGAGATCTACATCATCCACCAAGAGTGGAAAATTTATGAACCCCACAGACCAAGCCCGTAAGTGTCCATTGGTGTGGAATGATAAAGAAGAGGAGTGATAAAAATTGCAAGCACTGGAGAATCTATTATGTCTTAATTATAAAATCAGTGTTGCTAGGAGTCAGTTAGTTGTATAAAGTTATCCAGTGTTGTAGGCACATGATGAAACCTTTAAACATGCAAAAAAATTAATACTCATACTTTTAATTTGATTGACTTGCCAAGTATAATTGGCTTGAAACTTTCTTTTTGTATTTGAAATTTTGGACAGACTAGTGTTGAAAAACTTAAAGCAAAAATCTCTTAAGATTTTGGTTGACATAATTAAAGGTTGCTATTGGCATCTAGTGGGTAGAGGCCATAGATGCTGCTAAATACACTGCAATGCACAGAATAGCCTCCCACATTAATTATTATTTGTATTAAATTAGAGAAAATGCTAGTGTTCAGGATTTGAAAGTTTTATATTTTCTCTGTCTCTCTCAAGGAAAAGAAGCCCGGAAGAGAGAATTAAAGAAGGTATGATTTCAGAAGCATCCTATTACCCCTAAGTGACGTTTCGCACATCTGATTATTTGGGATTAGTGGATTTCAAAACAACATTTACAATTATTTGTCAGAAAAGATACTTTATGCTTCTTATAACAAACAATAAAATTTACTAAGCCAAAATACTGTACTTGGAAACTGAACTGAAATAACTTTACAGATAAGCTCATGATATCCTAATATTGTATATTTGATTATCTTTCCCACTGAGTTAAATAGATATCTTTGAAAGGATTTTTTTTTTTTTTTGGCGCTGTTAAAGCATACTACTTTGTTAAAAGCTACTGATTTAGTGAGTGAAAATAAATGTGATTCTGAGTAGCTTTGTGGGTTCGTTTTCCTTATTATGTACCTATTGAGTTTGTGGCAAAGTGTTTTCCCAGAATAAGACAGTGTTTACTTTTTAGTGTCATTCTTGAATACCTGAAAGAATACAGATTTTTAATAGTTTTTAATTGAACTTTTCCTATTGTACTGGTTAGCATCAAATCCTGTAAAACTTTTCTCTAGTATATATAGTTTTAGAATTTAGCCCAAAAAAAAAATCTTAAATTTTTTAAGTAATTGCTAAAGATCTCACAAAATTAAAAGAACTCTTTGCCTTAGAAAGCACATGTACTAAATAGTGATTATCTTTTTGTCTAAAGTTGAAACGTTTTTTGAGAGCCAAAAATGACATGGCTTTGTTATGGTGGTTGAAACAAGTGACCAGAAATCAAGAAGTTCAACTCAATTTTAATAGATTATTGATGCAAATTGAAGTAGAATTTCAGGAAGGTCCAATTTTTTAACACAGTGCTCTTTTTTTTCCTAAGAACAAAAAACAGCGCATGATGGTACGAGCTGCAGTTTTGAAGATGAAGGATCCCAAACAGATTATCCGGGACATGGAGAAATTGGATGAAATGGGTAAGAGTTTATTTTAAAAGGCTAGATTTTAGAGCAGAGGTATAGTCTGATACACAGAGGCAGGCAAACAGGTAATGAGTAAAGCAGCACAGATATAAGAAAAACAGAAAAGCATGATGACATTTGACACTTTGGGTTTAGTTTTAGCATCAGAAAAACAAGGAATGATGGGGAGCAGTTGCACACTGGGGATCTCCTCTAGAGTAAGATGGGTGCTGTTATTTAGCTTGAACTAGTTGTTGAGAGGAGACTGAAATCTGGAGTTTTTAATTTTTTTTTTTAAATTTTTATTTATTTATGATAGTCGCACAGAGAGAGAGAGAGAGAGAGAGAGAGGCAGAGACACAGGCAGAGGGAGAAGCAGGCTCCATGCACCGGGAGCCCGACGTGGGATTCGATCCCGGGTCTCCAGGATCGCGCCCTGGGCCAAAGGCAGGCGCCAAACCGCTGCGCCACCCAGGGATCCCTGGAGTTTTTAATTTTTTTAATGTTGGCAACTACCATGTAAATCTAAATATTAGGCTACCATGAATTTATCAGTTCCCCATTTTTTCCAGTGAGAAGATAAGACACTTGACCCACTAAGTAAGGTGGTAGAAGAAATCGTGAACTACTTAAAATTTAATTTTATAGAATATCATATATATCGTTAGGAAATCTCATTTTTCACATTTTTTTGAATGATTTTACTTAGTTTCTTCACATACATCTTCAGTATGACTACTTTTTGTCGTAACTGGAATCACACAAGATAATCCTTGCCTCCAAGTTGCTTCAGAATTCTCTGTGTGATGTTCCCATAGGAAATTTTATTGCAACCCATCTAATATTTTTAATATTAGAACATGAGATTTTTAATTGTTTTGCATCCTGCTCCTTTTTTTTTTTTGCATAAGGAAATTATCTTGACAAGATTTGTTTTCAAAGGTACTCAGTTTAAGTGGTTTGCCAAAGATCAGATAGTAGGTGAAAAAGGTACAGTGGATCTCAATAATACATTAAATGGGTTGAAAAAAAAAAAAAATCCAGGGGTGCCTGAGTGGCTCAATCGGTTAAGCATCTGCTTTTGGCTCGGGTCATGATCCCAGGGTCCTGGGAGTGGACCCCATAATGAGCTCTCTGCTCAGCAGGGAGCCTGCTTCTCCCTCTGCCTCTGCCTGCTGCTCCCCCAGCTTGTGCCCCCTCCCCCATCAAATAAGTAAATAATCTTTAAAAATAAAAAAGTCCAGTTATGTGGGGTTATGGTATTAGAGGTTCTTTTAATAATGTAACGTAGCTTGTGCATTTAGCCTGGGCTAAATTAAATTTTATTTAATAATTAGTTCTGGATCAGATTGCTTGATCGCAAATCTTTCTCAGTTCAGCTCTAACTGATCCCATTTGTTGCCTCTGGTTTAAATATTACTGTGGGCAGTTGTTATCCCTAGAGTGTCAAGACATGAAATGACCTATTAAATTCAGATTGATTTATGTGGTTTTAAAAGGAGATAATAGTAGTAATGGAGGTTTATTGAGCTCTTATTTTGCTATGCACCAGTTTTTTCCATATGCTATTTAATCCTTAAAACAACTTTCAGGTAGGTGTATTAACCTATTTTATGGATGAGGAAACTCAGGCACAGAGAGATTGTATACTTTTCTCAAGGTCATGCTATTAGGAAGTAGCAAACTGGGATTAAAACTCAGGCATTCAACACTTTCATTAATCACACCAAGAATAGTGTATGTTGTAAGACTATCCTCTTCTGAATAAATCACCTAGGTTAAAAGGATTTAGGGAAGAAGATAATTAAACTTGTTATCATTTTAAAAAAAAAAAAGGAAAAGGGAGAAGGGAATACTGTTGAGGGCTCAGTGCAAACTAGTTTAGGCAGAAGAAATACATAGATTGACTCCCATAATTGGGAAATCCCAGAGGGAAGCCTTCCTAGAAAACACAGGTATGGTTATTGAGACTGTTCATCTGCCTGGTCTACTCTCTTGTTAGCTTCATTCAGCATATTGCTAATGAACTGCTTGGGATGGGAAGTAAGAATATGTGCTTGGAACTGGTGGGAGACAAGGTTATAACTCTAGGTTTATTTTATCCCTCCTGTAAAGGAGCGTCACACTCTCACATTCACAAAGTCTCAGAGAATGATCTGGTTTCAACTTGAATCATGTGCCAGTTGATCTCTGAGTCAGTCACTGGTGAGGACAACAGAGGGAGGCACGTATAATTGACCAGGCAAGCTCAGGAGTCTTGTGCTAATAATCCTTTTTGGGGTAAAAGACCTGAAATTAAGCCCCCTGTTGAACACATGGAAAGAGAAGGAATTATATGGTAGTTAGACAATATCAGTCTGTCATAAAAATAATTAAGCTGCAAGCTAAACACCACAGGATATTTTGTGATCACTTAGTCATCAAAGCTTTGTTGTGAGTAGTTGATGTCCACATTTTCCAGATGAAGAAGCTAAACATAAGAGAATTCAAGTGCCTAAGATCTCAGAATTAAGTGACATAATTAATCTGTCTGGCTGAAGCCTCACTATACTATAGCAAGTTGTTAGCATAAATAAAAATTTATTTTTATGTAATAAAAATTTACAGTAATGATGAAAATCAACTAATTAGATGACATTAGACTTAGAAAAGAAAATAAAATTAATGGCTATCTTAAAGGGGTGGAATTTTAAAAAAAAACCTATTGCACTTCTTTTTAATAAAATTTAAAATTTTATTAAATAAAATTTAATAAAATTTAAGATATAAATCCCTGTTAAAAGCTTTATCATATAAGGAGATTTTATGGGGCATCCTGGGTGGCTTAGCAGTTTAGCACCGCCTTCAGCCCAGAGCGTGATTCTGGAGACCTGGGATTGAGTCCCACGTTGGGCCCTCTGCATAGAGCCTGCTTCTCTTTCTGCCTATGTCTCTGCCTCTCTCTCTGTGTCTCTCATGAATAAATAAGTAAAATCGTAAAGGAGATTTTATTAAGTGATATAGCTAGTTGATACCTAAACGAAGTGACTCTTTGTTTTGAATCTCAGTATCTGCTCTTTTCTTTCAGAGTTCAACCCAGTGCAGCAACCACAGTTAAATGAGAAGGTGCTGAAAGACAAGCGTAAAAAGCTGCGTGAAACCTTTGAACGTATTCTACGACTCTATGAAAAAGAGAATCCGGACATTTACAAAGAATTGAGAAAGCTAGAAGTGGAATATGAACAGAAGAGGGCTCAACTTAGCCAATATTTTGATGCTGTCAAGGTAATCAAGTTTCTCTAGAGAGGTAAACTAAAATGTTATATTTAGATTTGCTTTTTAAATTGTTAATGGGAGAATTGGTCATGATGGACTTCTTCCTCTTGGCAATTTCCTATCATATAAACTTCATTATGGCAATTTCTTGTCAAACTATCTCATGAACCAACCAATCTTAGTGATGTATATTTATACAAGAGAAATTAATCCATCTGCCAGTATAGTAATAGCTAAAAACTGGAAATAGCCCAGATGTCCATTAATAGGAAAATGAATAAACAACCTAGAATATTTATAAAATTGAATGTACTCAGCAATATAAATAAATGCTCTACTGATACTCAAAACAACAGGAATTAAGAAAAAAATTTAATGGATAAATCTCAAAGCATGTTGAATTTCTATCATAGTTAGGATTCCATTTGTATGAAATTGTAGGACCAGCAGAATTAATCTATGAATGAAAGCGTTTGTAACGGTGGTTGCTTTGGGATAGTGTTAGGGATGATTGAGAAGAAATGTGAACTAGACGCATTTGTCAAAACTCAGAATTTAATTTCACTGGGAGTTTTGTCTCAAAAATGTAAAAAACCCAAATGGTATAATTTTTGCAAAGCAGGTAGTATAGGTCCCCTTTTACAGATAAGGAAACCAAGGAACTTGCTTAGTCGTACAGCTAGTATGTGGCAGAAATCCAACAAAGACTAATTTTAGAAACCCAAGCTCTACCATTGGATATATAGTATTTATAAGTTCATTGATAAGTGTTAATTATCATACAGAATATTTAAAAGGATGGCTTTGGTGCTAGATACTTTTTTTTTTAATTTTTTTTAATTTATGATAGTCACACAGAGAGAGAGAGAGAGAGAGGCAGAGACCGAGACCTAGGCAGAGGGAGAAGCAGGCTCCATGCACCGGGAGCCCGACGTGGGATTCGATCCCGGGTCTCCAGGATTGCGCCCTGGGCCAAAGGCAGGCGCCAAACCGCTGCGCCACCCAGGGATCCCGGTGCTAGATACTTTTAACAGTTAACCATAACCCAAAAGGATAAGTTAATAATAAGGGAGAAAAACAGCTGAGTTTTGTTTCTTTTAAAGGTGATAGAGATTCTTTCCATTCATCAACAGACTTTGGAAATGTTGACAAATACTGATATTCTTGTTTTTCCTGATACTTAATGTTAGGTAGAAAGCAAATCCAGGTTATGAAACAGCAGATACTGAATTTTAACTGTTGAGTTTGTGGGTTGCTCTTATACTATTGAAAGATTTTTCTCTGTTTCAGAATGCTCAGCATGTGGAAGTGGAGAGTATTCCCTTGCCAGATATGCCACATGCTCCTTCCAACATCTTGATCCAGGACATTCCACTTCCTGGTGCCCAGCCACCCTCCATCCTTAAAAAGACCTCAGCCTATGGGTGAGGAAGCAGTAGCATAATTAAATAATATTTATTAAAAGTACCTTTTGGCTGTCCACTGCCAAAATTATTGCAGTGGGAATTAAAAGGCAATGGGAATGTAAGCAGTGCCTTACTTGATTAAATGTGAGGTAAGAAATCCCTTGAAAATATTTTAGAAGAAGAAATAAATATTGTTAATGTGATTACTGTAAAATTTTCTTTACAGACCTCCCACACGGGCAGTTTCTATACTTCCTCTTCTTGGACATGGTGTGCCACGTTTGCCCCCTGGTAGAAAACCTCCTGGTCCTCCCCCTGGTCCACCACCTCCTCAAGTCTTGCAAATGTATGGCCGTAAAGTGGGCTTTGCCCTAGATCTTCCCCCTCGCAGGCGGGATGAAGACATGTTATATAGCCCAGAACTTGGTAAGGAGTGACTTCCTTTTGCTCTTGCAGCTTTTCCACTGTCATTTTTTTATGTTGGTCCTGTTTAACATCTTGTTCACCATCCTCAGAACTTAGGAGATAAATCATGATTACATATACTTACTAACAGATGGATAAATCATAGAATTTACCCAAGAAAAACCAACACACATTAGGAAGTACAGAAATATTTATTGTGTTTTAAATTAGGCTTTTTTTTTGAGATTCCTTAAGCCTTGGATACCTGTTTCCTTTTCAGTTTTATTGCTATCATACCAGAGCATAATTGTATATAGTTACTGGTGTGTGTGTGTGTGTGTGTGTGTGTGTGTGTGTGTGTGTGTACGTGTACCAGTTTCTAAGTAGAATTTGTTTTCAAATTTTAACTTTTTAAAAAATATTTTACATTATCAAAAAGATTTTAAAACTATTACCAAACGGAAATATTTTCAGACTATATGAAGAACTATTACATACAGAGTCATTTTAAATAATGAAGCTATTCTGAGTTAGCACAGTTTTCTGTGCTTTGGTATACCATGAAGTGGAGGATCCAGTCATCTTACATGTTTCCTGCTCCCTTCTCCCTTTTCAGCTCAACGGGGTCATGATGATGATGTTTCCAGCACCAGTGAAGATGACGGATATCCTGAGGACATGGATCAAGATAAGCATGATGACAGTACTGATGACAGTGACACTGACAGGTCAGATGGAGAAAGTGAAGGGGATGAATTTGTGCACCGTGATGATAACGAGAGAGACAACAATGAAGAAAAGAAGTCAGGTATGTGCAAATGAAAGTTCATGGTATTGATAGTAGCAGACAAGATGAAGGTCCTGATTTATTAGTGTATCTGTGAAAGTAATTGTGAGCACCTTGAAAAGAAGGGTCATAGTTTTATTCATCTTTATATCAAAAAACTCAAAAGTTCATGATACATAGTCCTCAGTGGACATTTGTGAGGGGAAAAAAGTTAAGCAGAGTATGTGATAAAGAAGTCTATGTAATAAAGTTCACTTTGAGAGAAAAAGAGCTATTCAACAGCATACAGATGGGCTCTTGTGGGTCTGTATAGGAACAAAAGAATAACCATGTAACTATTTTGATTGAGAAAGCCATATTCATATCATTGGGGTTTTTTTGGTAAGTCTGCTTAAATATTTTTTTAAGGTTTTATTTATTCGAGAGAGGCAGAGAGAGAGAGAGGCAGAGATACAGGCAGAGGGAGAAGCAGGCTTCATGCAGGGAACCCAATGTGGGACTTGATCCTGGGACTCCAGGATCACGCCCTGGGCCAAAGGCAGGTGCTAAATCGCTGAGCCATCCAGGGATTCCCCCTACTTAAATGTTTTTATCTGGAGCCATTTAAATTTCTGTGTTCATTTCGTCTCACATCAACCAGACCATAATTATAATTCTGGTACACCTCCAAGTAGACTCATGATTTAATGGAAGTACCCATAATATATGATATATGTCCATTTGAAATGTGTGGGAGATATCAGAAAGGGACACAGAACATAAAGACTTCTAACTCTGGGAAATGAACTAGGGGTGGTGGAAGGGGAGGAGGGCGGGAGGTGGGGGTGAATGGGTGACGGGCACGGAGGGGGACACTTGACGGGATGAGCACTGGGTGTTATTCTGTATGTTGGTAAATTGAACACCAATAAAAATTAATTCATTAAAAAAAATAATAAAAAAAAATAAAATCAAACTGAGTTATGTGTACTTTTAAAAAGTAGTTAAGGCATTCATCAAGATAAGTTTAAGCATCATGATAGATATTGAGCAATATAAAATGTATAATCTGCCACACCTCTGCAGTCTTTGAGTTTCTTTTAAAATTATTTTTGTCAGAGGACCTGCATGGCTCAGTGGGTTAAGCATCTGACTCTTAATTTCAGCCCAGGTCATGATCTCAGGATTGTGGGATCAAGGCCAGCCGCCTGTTCACACATGCAAGCGCTCACATGTGCTTGTTCTCTCTCTAAAATAAATAAGATCTTTTAAAAATAAATAAAAGCAAAATTGTTTTTGTAGTCTACAACAGCATATTTATGTATTTGTAATACTACTGATGTTCGTATTTGAAGTGATGACAAGTCTTTGATATTTCATAAGAATCGTGGTTGCAAACCAAAAAGCTGTCTTAAAGGGGTGGATGGAGCTCATAACGAAAATTATAGACGACTTATATAGGAGCTAGTACTAGAAAGTACGGAGTTCTTAGAGCCACAGCAGCTTCATTTTTCTCTGGAATCGTGTGATCCTTTGCCTCATTTTTCTTTTTTTCTGCCAACTTGTTTTACTTTTACATACTTATCAATGGATGTGTGCTGAAAGTGGCTATCCTGTGATTTGACATTCAACTAAAATTTGAGTTTTTACTATATGTAAGGAATTTTCCTAGACCAACGATACAAAATAGATAAAACTAAAGCCCTGCCCACATGGAACTTTGTAAATGTTTACCAACTAAGGCTGCTCCTAATTTCATACCATTTAGCATGATGTTTAATAGTGTCTAGTGGATAGCCTGTTTTGTCAGGTTACAAAGGTGCTTTCTATTCCAAGTTTGCTAAGAATTTTTATTATAAATATTTTATAAGTGTCTGTTGAGATGTTAGGGATTTTAAGTTGTGTACTGTAATGAATTCTATTCATGGCTTTTCTAATGTTCAACCTTCTTTTGCATTTCTGGGACCAACTCTATATGTTTATGATGTGTTTCTTTTAAAGCACTGTTGGATTCAATGTGGTTATAAAATTGGCCCTTGAACAACATGGGGGTTAGGAACACCGACCCTCTGCACAATCAAAAATCTGTGTATAACTTTGAGTCCCCCACAGTTAGCCTACTAATAGCCTATTGTTGACCAGATTTTTTACTGATAACATGAATAATCAATTAACACACGTTTTGTTGTTGCATATATTATATACTACATTCTTGCAATAAAGTAAGGTAGAGAATTTTTAAGGAAAATACACTCTCAGTACTGTACCGTATCACAAAAAATCCACTGTGCAAGTACCCACTCAGTTCAAACCTGTGTTCAGTGGTCAGTTGTATTTTACAATTGGTTAGTTTTGGTATCAAGGTTGTGCTAGCTTCATATGTTCTGGATTGCATTCCATCTTTTCTGTTCCCTTTTATAGGAAATTTCTGTAATTTAATGTTTGGCTGAACTTCTTTATAAAATTATTTGGGCCAGGTTAAAAATAGATTTTTAACTACCGTTTCAATTTTATATGTTGTAGTCTTACCACTTCTGTGGCCAATTTTTATAATTTTTATTTTTTTAAAGAAATGTCTGTTATCTGGGTGTTCAGTTTTACTGGCATAAAGATGTTAATAGTATTCTTTAAGTTTTTGAAATTTATAGATTTTAAATCACAATAACATGTTTACCACCAGTTGGCACTTCTTATACTTTCTTTTTATGACTGTTTTCTATACTTAACTTCTGCCAAATAGTGAGCAGCATCCTATCTAGTGCTTTATCACATTATATAGGGAACATTTGCTGAGTTTTGTTGTTCTAATCCACCCTATTCTCTCCCTCTACCCCTTAGGTCTGAGTGTAAGATTTGCAGATATGCCTGGAAAATCAAGGAAGAAAAAGAAGAACATGAAGGAGCTGACTCCTCTTCAAGCCATGATGCTTCGAATGGCAGGTAAGACAGGGAAAGAAGAGTGAAATCACCTTTTGGGTATTTCCTCCTGCCACTTCCTTTACATACATTTTCCTATTTAGTGTCTCAACAACTCTGAAATAAGTAATAAATCCTTGTTTTTAAAAGTTAAGGTTTGGAGACATTTGGAGACTAAGCTGCCCAAAGTTACCCAGCTAGTAAGTGGTTAAACTGGCATTTAAATCCAGGTCTGTCTTGTTCTAAAGCCCAGGCTTGTTTCACTGCTCCAGTAGCATAGATGAGTAGAATACTATCTTGATTCCTTCACATCTAAGTAGTTTATTAAAGAAGGCTAGTTACTTGTTAATTTTTAAAAAGCACTTGATTGAGCATGTGTCTGCAGGCTTTGCTATTTTGCAGGCTGTAGAAAATGAATCAACTCCATTTCACCTGGTTTAAAATTTCTTCTAGGTCAGGAAATCCCTGAGGAAGGACGAGAAGTAGAAGAATTTTCAGAGGATGATGACGAAGATGATTCTGATGATTCTGAAGCAGAAAAGCAATCACAGAAACAGCATAAAGAGGAATCTCTTTCTGACGGCACATCTACTACTTCTTCACAGCAGCAAGCTCCCCCACAGTCTGTTCCTCCTTCTCAGATACAAGCACCTCCCATGCCAGGACCACCTCCTCTTGGACCACCACCTGCTCCACCTTTACGGCCACCTGGACCACCTACTGGCCTTCCTCCTGGACCACCTCCAGGTAAGTAGACACTGATATATTGTGAATAATTAACTAAGTCTACCTGTGATTAGAGTGACGAAGTCATTCCGAAAATATATATTAGTAGTGATGTTTTGTTTTTCCTAGTATAAGTCTCTAGGAGATAAAGGATAGTACAATTTACTTATTCCTATACCACTGTTCACAGTTCATAGTACTTCTGACAGCCTTCTTTTCCTCCAAAGCTCTTCTCTTTGCAGGGTTCTGTAGCTCTGAGGTTAGCAGGCAGAAACAGGAGTATTGAACCTGGGGGTTTCTTTAGTACTGTTATTTTTAATGACAAGTTGACCCAATTCAAAATTGATAGTTAATGAGATTAGGGTACAGTAAATACTATCAGGCATCCTTCCTTGGTTGGGAATTGTTGGAAGTCAGTCTTTAGAGACAAAAGGGATCAGTATTAATATAATCTTTGGCATACAAGAATGAGAAGTTTGTTTTGAAGTTTGAACTTGGCAATTTATGATTTTATAGTCCTTCATCCTACAGTTGGCCAGTTAGGTTTTCTTCGCTTGAGTTCATCCCTTTTTGATTGGTGGTGCAAAGCACATTACCTCTCCTGTGTCATCTTCTGTCATCCTTGCCTACATATCTTCCTGTGTTTCAGGGGGAATGCTTAAAGAGTTCTGCTTTGTATTCCATTTTCAGCTTATTTTTGAACCCACTTAAAAATCTTTTCCTCTTTGTTCAATTTCTAGCCCAGCAGAACTGTGCTTTAAAAAAACTATATTTTTTATCAGTACTGGGAAATAAAGAGAAATGATCCATAACAAGTTTAGCGCTCTATCTCTGGTGCTCAGATATTTGTTGAGTGAATTCTTTTTCCACCTGTGTTTTGATCAGTTTTTGAAGTTACCTGATTTCAAGTTAAAATGCTAAGTCAGACCACATTCGAGTTATCTTTATACCAGTTACGACTTGGTATGTATTTCTCTTACATTAGTTTGTCATTTTTCTCTTTTCAGGAGCTCCTCCATTCCTGAGGCCCCCTGGAATGCCAGGACTCCGAGGGCCTTTACCCCGACTTTTGCCTCCAGGCCCACCACCAGGCCGACCCCCTGGCCCTCCCCCGGGTCCACCTCCAGGTCTGCCTCCTGGCCCTCCTCCTCGGGGACCCCCACCAAGGCTACCTCCCCCTGCACCTCCAGGTGAAGCTTTTAATTTCTACTACAAAAATTTAACTATTATATATTTCATTTGCTCTAAGACATATTTTCACATCTCAATATCCTGAAGTCAAAGGGTATCCTAAAATGATGTTTTTTAACAGCTTTTGGCCTGGGTTGAAGTTGAGTTCTTCCACAGAGTATTTGCACTGGATTCTCCTTGTCCTGTGAGGGGCTTTTCCCAGCCAGAGACCACTTGGGATTAAATTCTCCATTTGAGTAGTGTGTTTTGTGGGGGTGGGGGGCAATTGTAAAGTCATTCCATGTATTTCCATATATTTCTTAACTATATGTACCAACTTAAAGTTTGAAATTACAAGGCACATTTCCATGTGCTTTTATCATAGTGTACCAGTGTATTTCTGGTTTATTACACTGTCCCAGTCTAATGTGAAGGCCTCCTTTGAAGCTCCCCAGCTTGGACTCTCCATGGTATCTGGAATAATTATGAGTCTATATAAGCAATAGTATCTTAGGTTCCATGAAATTTGGCATTTTTATTCAGTCTTAAAAGTGGCATTTGAAGAAAATCAGATCTGCAATTTTGGGTAAATGACAGTGGTGTTGTCTGAACCATCAAAGGACTTGAATTCTTTTCCATTGGTGGTAACATACCATGATTAGTTACATTCATGTCCTTTGATGTTTAAAATTTCATTTCCTGGCCATTGGGTTACCTTTTTCAGGGGAGGAATGGTGTGGAAATCAGTAAATAATGCATGAGAATGTAACTCCCAACCTTGGCCTTGATAACATGTCTAGTATACAGCTAGAGTAGAGTCTTGGGCTTTCAGAGTTGAAATCATACTTGAAACCAGTTAGTGTTGTTGACTTTGTATTGTAAGACAGTACATTACTCAGAGAGGAAGAAAACCTAAGTACAGGGGTATAGACTGAAAGTGAATACTATTTCACAATAAAGTACTCCTTACTATCAAAATCTATTCCTGAGCATCATAGTTTCAGCTTGTTTTCTGTAAATTGCCCATGTTTAAAAAATTGTCAGCCTCTGTTTCTCATGGTGTTCACCTGCCTGTTTTCTCCTTCATTTAGGCATCCCTCCACCTCGTCCTGGCATGATGCGCCCACCTTTGGTGCCTCCACTTGGACCTGCCCCACCTGGGCTTTTCCCACCAGCTCCCTTGCCCAACCCGGGGGTTTTAAGTGCTCCACCCAACTTGATTCAGCGACCCAAGGCGGATGATACAAGCGCAGCCACCATTGAGAAGAAAGCCACAGCAACCATCAGTGCCAAGCCACAGATCACTAATCCCAAGGCAGAGATTACTCGATTCGTGCCCACGGCATTAAGGGTACGTCGGGAGAATAAAGGGGCTGCTGCTGCTCCCCAAAGAAAGTCAGAGGATGATTCTGCTGTGCCTCTTGCCAAAGCAGCTCCCAAATCTGGTCCATCTGTTCCTGTCTCCGTTCAGACCAAGGATGATGTTTATGAAGCTTTCATGAAAGAGATGGAAGGGCTACTGTGACACCTCTTAATGCCAGAGTGTTTCTGTTCATACCAGAGGTTGGTGGGGAAAGAGGCTTTTACTAAACTTAGTGAAAGAGCGACTTTCACTGTCAGGGTATTTTTAAATTTCAGTTCAAGGAATATCCTAAAGTTTAGCCTTGTTCAGAATTTATTGCATATAAGAGAGGATTATTTCATTCAGAATAAATTGGTTATTGAAGCAGTGCTGCTAACATCCATTCCCTTTCATACCACCGTTTTCATCCAGTTTGTTCCCCTTCTCCAATTTTTTGGAAACTTGTGATCGAGGGGATCTTGTTACTTATTTGTTTTGATTCTCTTCTTGTGTGCAGTGGGCACTGGAGTAGAGATTTCTGAAAAAAACAGTTTATTTTACCCCATCTTGCCTTTTGTGTTTGAGTTATTTTAATATTTTCTTGTAAATATTTTGTAATATTTTAGTGAAATGGATCGCAATGTCATTTCCTAATACAAAGCAAGATATGTGGGAAGAAAATGTACAATTCTTTGATTAAAATTATTTCCCACTGACCTGAACTTTGAGTGTTTCGTGGAATAAATAAATAAATGTTCTACACCAAGATATCCTCTGTGTTACTGATGATATATAAATATGGTATCTGTGTTAGGGGCAGTAAAGAAGCAAGGATTTAAAATCTCTGTTTTAAGGAACTGCCATTGCTGGTACAGAATAAGAATCTTATTGAAAATATTGTTAAAACTAAGTTTTAAATTTTAAGGGATAAAGAAAAGAATTATTTTCCTTCGGGATTATACTGGCTTTGGAGAAATTGAAAGGTTATTTATTGTATAGAACATGAATCTTCTCAAGGATTATTTACTTTTCCAGAGCTTTGTGAGCTTAGTGATGGGAAAAGCTTCTTTTAAACTGTGTCTAAATTATTAGATAGCTAGAGAAGGTGACTACTATTATTTTATTGAATTTGTCAGTTATATGAGCTTTTATTATTAAAAGACAAAATGAAGAATGCTCAATATTGTTAATTTACATTGATATAATTTTCTTTAAAAAGTGCTTTAATAGCTAGTTCAGCTAGCCAGTAATCCTAATAATTTTCACAGATATTTTCTCCATCTTACAGATGAGAGTATTGAAGCTAAAGGAGTTGTGTGAATTAGCCAGTGGCCCAAAGTATGAATATTTTATGAACAAAGATACACACGCACAGTGAGACAATGTGTGCATTGAGTTTAGACTAGACATACCTATTCTTACTTTGTATCTTAAATACCTGTCACATGAATCCCATGTCATCAAAAATTGGTAGTATCCTAAAAAAAATAGTACAATAATATGATAAGGCTTTTATTTTCTTGCAAGTGATTCCTTGATGGATTTTTAGATTTCTCTTCTGAGATCCTGTGTGTATGAAACTTTTCTTGGAAATTACTCTTTCAGATTAAAGCAAGTCTTGTCAAACCAGTCTATAGGTCATTTTGGATTTTTTCTTTTTTTAAGATTTTATTTGAGACTGTGAAAGCACAAGCAGGGCGAGTAGCAGAGGGAGAGGGGGAAGCAGGCTCCTTTGTGAGCAGGGAGCCCGAGGTGGGGCTTGATCCCAGGGTGAAGGCAGATGCTTAACCCACCGAGTCACCCAGGTACCCTGGGCTTTTTTTTTTTTTTTTCAGTATAGTCATTTAGTGTAACCAGTAAGTGAATTGAATATTTGATCATTTAAATGCTAAGATGGAACACCATTCTATCATCATTAAGTCAATATTATACTTTAAATGTAAACAATTATTTGGTATTTGGTCTGTAATATTTTTAGCGTTCTTGCTTGAAGTTTATATTTTTTCTGAGATTTCTGTTTTCACATTTATTAGGCTGTTCAGTTTATCATAGTCATTTCCTAGTATCGCTAGTTTAATTTTCTGAAATGTCAGCTGTAAAATCTGGCACATTTTTATGTTACCTCTATTTGCAGGAAAGGGTAACCCGTTCAAAATTTGGATAGGTTCTGAGTCAGCATTTGTCATGATCATAATTCACCCTGTGATTTCAAAAAAATGCTTGGATCAATGTTAAGCTTGATAAAAATCTTTAATCAGATAATATGGATAAATACTGTTTCCTTCTCAGTGTCATTTTATTATACAATAATTGCCCCTTAAAGTCGTTTTCACAGCAGTCTGCCAAGGCATGGAATCCGCATAAAGCCTTAGATGACATCCAAAGGTCAGTTTAGTTTCGATTCTAATTTTTTTGCACATTCCAATTTGTGCCCTTTATAAAACATTGCTTTGTTTATACAGATTCGGGAGGTATTTTTTAATATTTTCTTAAACTCTTTTTTACTTCAAGTAATTCTTCAGGCCACAAGATGCCACAATCACCACCCCATAGGGAACTGCACACTAATGTTTTGTCTTCCTTTCTTTCTTTCTTTCTTTCTTTCTTTCTTTCATTCATTCATTCATTCATTCATTCATTCATTCATTTATTTATTTATTTATGATAGTCACACAGAGAGAGAGAGAGAGGCAGAGACATAGGCAGATGGAGAAGCAGGCTCCATGCACCAGGAGCCCGATGTGGGATTCGATCCTGGGCCTCCAGGATCGCGCCCCGGGCCAAAGGCAGGCGCTAAACCGCTGTGCCACCCAGGGATCCCTCATGTTTTGTCTTCAATTCCAACTGCAGCAGGTCTAATATGTGGAAATGGTCATCCACCAGGATTGGTTTGGAGGACAGGCCTTGCAGCACTCCTGGAGTTAAAACCTTCACTGAGCAGAGCTGTACATAATTTCTATCCACCGAGTCCTGGGTTCAGGTATAAGTGAGCTGTGGGGAAATTTTTCTGTTCTTTACATTCCTTTAATTAAGAGCTTTTAGCAAAGGTCGGAGCTGGGACTTCTGTGAGACCAAAATAACTGTCTCCCTACCACAGTTCTCTTATTTCTAAGAATGCCTATGAGTGTGGCTGTGAAGGAAAGTAGATAGGACAGAGCAGGTGGCTAAGGACTGAGCAAGCACAGGGGTTTTGCTGGATCAGCATGTGCAAGTTTGCTGAGGCTTAAGATCAAGGAAGGAGGGACAGGTTGGAGAATGAAAAGTGATTGATGGAATGAGCTACCTGAGGGTTTGGGGAGGCATGCACATTATAAATTTCTGCAGATAGTCTCTGAGCTCCTACTGTGAGCTAGGTGCTGGGAAAACCGTGGCAAGCAAAATCAGATGTTCCTATCCTTGGGATCTTCATAGAAATTTCAAGAGATAAGCATCAACATCTATATACTTCCATCTCATACCTTGAATACAGTATTTACCAATGCTAATTTTTTTAAAGAATTTATTTTACTTAACCTGTGCTCATGAAAAATTTGGAAAAAAAATCTGACAGCTATTATATGCTATGTGCCAGTGAAGATATAATTCATCATACCTTTATAATCTTTTTATGCTTTAAAAGCCTTTAAAAGAAGCTTTTAAAAAAATGGAAATGTTGGGGATCCCTGGGTGGCTCAGCGGTTTAGTGTCTGCCTTCAGCTCAGGATGTGATCCTGGAGTCCCGGGATCAAGTCCCACATCAGGCTCCCTCTATGGAGCCTGCTCCTCCCTCTGCCTGTGTCTCTGCCTCTGTGTGTGTGTGTGTGTTTCTCATGAATAAATTAAAAAAATCTTTAAAAAAAAAAAAAGGTACAAACTTTAAAAAAAAATGGAAATGTTTTCTCTAAAGGTTAGTAAATACTAAATATCAACAAATTACCTTAATTGTTACCTCCTTGCTGCTACCAAGGAGGAAACATGTTTAAAAAAAAATAAGTTTGCAAACAAAAGACCACAGCTTCCCCAATACATGTTTTCCTTGACCTATTATCCTATTCAAACAGACCATTCCTCCTCATTAGGCATCGAAGCCTAAAAATAAGCTACTATTGCAATTTACCATAATGAATCCTTATTTAGTAAGAATTCTATCACATTTACCTGATAACTGATAAGTTAGGAGAATAAGTAGGAGAACTGATAAGTAGGAGAATTAACACTTTAAGAATACTGTTAAGAAAAAAAGATTTAAGTGTTTTAAGGATTTGTATAGCAATATTGGGAAGGAAAATTAGGATCCAGTAGCATTTATATCATAGAATCTCAAGAAAAATTAGAGTCCAAGGGAAAAACAGAATTAACTCCATTATTACCACTGCACCCAGCAACCTTGACTCCAATAAAATGGAGAATGAGGTAAAAAAAGAAGGTAAGAGCCCAACTTCAGGCAGGGAGACGGGGGAAAACATGAATATAGCTCTGAAATCTTGTCTAATTTTATAAAATACTCTACCCATGAATGAAGAGTCCATGCTATTTTGAAACTTGGACTTTTTTCTGGGAGTTAATAAAGGTTGCCATAGTTAGGCATAACATGCAAACAAAACCCCAAACAAACAAAAAAACTCCATACCTTCAAATAATATTTGTTGGCTTTTTTGAGTGCTAAAGAGAATCAAAGTGCAGATAATGTAAAAATCCAGCATCTCCTACAACCATTTGTACTGCTGAGTAACCCAGATCACAGGAGGGCCTATTTTAAAATCTATATTTGTACTCTGAGAATTTATTCATAACACACATGTTTGAGAAAAAAACTTATGGTTAACATTAAAAAGTAAAGAATAACATGAAAATGCCACATTTCTGGAGAAAAATTAGAACAATTATTTAGATAGATGGATGACATGTTAATTTAGTTTTTTATTTTGTATTTTTATTTGTTTCTTCTTTCAACTAGAACAGGGATCAGCAAACTTTGTATAAAGGGCCAGATGGTAAATATTTTGGGCTTTGTGAGCCATAGAGTCTGTCACATTGACTCAATGCTGCCTTTGTAGTGTGAACTCTGCACTGCAGGCAGGTGGCCCGTCACACTCCCTGACCTCAAGGAGAGGACCACAAGAGATCCGCTCTGGGGGGTTGGCCTGAGAGGGAGTCTGGGCACTGCTAAAATCCAGAGGCCTGGAGAGTGTTTTCCTGGTGGGAGGCTGTAAGAAGGTAGTCCCCAGACTGAGTTGGGGCTGCCAGGTCACAGAGAGACCATGCATTGTGGACACGTGGCTGGGACAGATGGCCACCTGATGTCCTCACACCTCACTGCTTACCCACCACTACCACCAGCAGCCTGAGCCAGCAAGACATATCCCTTCCTCCTATGAAGTCGCTCCCATACCTTCTACTGAGAGAGACCAGCATACCTACCAAAATGGAAAAATTGTTAAAAGAACTCTGCCTCTTTTCACAGAGCAAGTACTGAAGTTAGAATGTGGAGCTCAGAGGCAATAAATCCATAACTGACACATGTGAGTGTGAAGAAAACCCAGCCTTCTGTCACAGCCTAGTCACAAAATTATTAGCACCGATTTCTCTGACAAAAACAAATGGAGTATTTCTCAAGCTGCTTCTTCCAGGCAACCGGTTAGGCACAGTTAGCTTATGTGCCCTAGCTAATGATAAAAGGTTTTTTAGGGAGTCATTTTTGTTCTTAAAAGATCTCAAGAGAACTCTGGTTGACTGGCAGTCTCCATGTCAAGAGTACATTAAATTAAACAAAGCTCAGAACTAGGAGGTGAGCAAAAAATGCTCTGAGAACCCCTGACAGACAGTGGTACTCACTAAAATTTTCTAATGGCTCTTTTACAGTTTCCAGCCTTCTTTGCAGTTAGATTAAACATGGGGCTAGTTCTATTCAAGGGGCTGAAGCAAAGAAGAGTGGGTGTGAGTTCCTTTGCCTCTACCTCTGCTGCTGGAAGAGATGGGAAGTAGCTTTATACGGATGGTGAGTGGTGTGTATATATATTTTTATATATACATATATATGCATATGTATTTGTAGTGTGAACTCTACACTATTATATATATATATATATATATATAAATATATGAAAAATGGCAGAACAGGCTGGAATCTCCAGGTTTCATAGACTTCATTCAAGGTCTGCTCTTATGAAAGTTTCAGGAACACAGAGATCTCATCTTCTCTGTTTGCTCTTGCTGGCAATCTGCAGGTCAAGGGTTTTATGAGGGAGTGACCTTCGTCCTGCCAGGCAAGGCCCAGTTAAAATTCTTCCCCTATGGCAGTGGGGGCCTGCTCACTTTGTGTTTGGATTACCTAGAGGTCTGGTCCCCCTGAACTCCACTTTACACTTTTCCACTCTTCTATGGCCTCAGGCAATTGAATTGTAGCGATTGCATCAAGGGGTCCTTTTTGTCTTTTGGCTTTCACTTGGGCTGGCCGATGAGAAGCAGGAGCTTTGAGGAAGGAAGGAAAGTGAGGCCGTGGGAATGACTCCCTTGGCCCCTCCCTACTGGCTGTCTTAGATTAGACTCCCTCCATTTTTCCTGTCATGCAGGCTCCCTCCACACAACCTCCTACCAGATCTGGTGAGCACTCCTTCCTTTCACTCCATCAAGCATAGGAGTGATAGTGGAGC